GGTTTGGGGGCAGGGTTGGAGGTCACTTTGAGACGTGTTAAAGTTGACATCGGGTACAGCTGTCAGGCAAGGGGTGGATACTCAAGTCTGGAATACAGGGTTCAAGTCTGGGCTGGAGCTAGAAGCTCAGAAGCCCGTCCTGACCCAGAAGTCTCAGCCCCACGCCACACACTCCACCACTGGTTACCTGGGGAGCTTGTTCCTGCCCCCTCCTGTCTCCCCCCACGAGGTGCTGATTCAGTGGGTCGTGGGACAAGCCTGTTTTTGAACCAGTCCATCCCCCTCCCCCTCCCTGTCATTCTGAAGAGCTGACAGGTTTGGGAACTACCACTAATTCTACAAAGTAACACTTACTTTGATGATCTTTGACAATGTAAACAGTGTTGCCACGGGTGCAGACAGGGAACCTGCAATCTGTGTAATTAATATAGTGCCTCTTCCCCCAATTCCCCTATGCCGTCAGCTCCCTCCTCTCCCTCCGGGCCCTGGAAACCACTGATCTGTTTTCTGTCCTTGTGGCTTTGCCTCTTCCAAACTGTCACAGGGATGGAATCACATACTTGTGTTCTTTTGTGCTGTCTTCTTTTTAATCTAGCATCATGTTTTATTTGGACGTTTTATACGAAACTGAGCGTTACCAACTCCCCTAATGCTTTATACTATTTTCTAATCCGTAAATTACGAATAACATAGTGTAAAACTTTCATCAACACTTCCAACCCCCCCCAGTGCCCTCCGGCCACCCAGAAGATGTGCAGATATTTTGGTTTTCTGTGTGCGCCTGCTGTGAAGGTCAGGAAGCCTGGTCCCGAGTCACACCTGCTGCTCCGTGATCCCCTCCCCCACAGGTTGATACCGTTGTGTGCAAACCAAGGGGCAGGGGGCTTTTGGCACCAGCTGTTTTGCCCATTCAGGGGGATTTTTGCTTCCCTTCTGGTTTCTCAGCTGAACCGTAGACACAGGAGAAGGGCCCCATCCCCCCGCCCCCCCCCTGTAGTGGTGGTGGTCTCTGCAGAGCCTGGTGTGGTCTTTTAGCTACAGCATGGGCCCTGGGGGCAGAGAAAGCGGGTTTGAGTTCTGTCTCTGCCCTTCCTAGCCCTGTGACCTCGGGCAGATGTCCTGACCTTCAGCCAGCCCTCGTACAGGTCTCACTGGGTATCACGAGGATTCATGGTCTGATGCAGGAGGCGTGGTACCGCACAGAGGAAGTGCTGCATTGCTGGTCGCGGGCATCACAGTGACCTTCCAGACAGTGACAGCGAATCAGGTGGACTTGGGAGGTCTGCCCGAGTCAGAACAAAGAGCCGGGGCTCCAAAAACACACCGCTTCACTTGCGGTTCCACCTTAACTGCCACTTCGTGAACTGGGTCTCTGGAACCACCAGGTCCTTGTCCTCTGGTAAAATGCCTCAGGTTTCCTCCCTGTGAAATGAAGGGGCACAACAAGATTTGCCCCCCAAGATGCCTCTCGATGCACCAGGCAGTTTGCACCAGTGCAAACTCCAGAGGGGACCTGAACCACCCGGAGAACTTATTAAGACACAGTGGCTGCCCCCCCACCCCCAGCTCCGGATTCGCTACGTCTGAGGTGGGGTCTGAGAATTTGCATTGCTAACAAGTTCCTGGGCCGTGTGGATGCTGGTGGGGCAGGACCACAGCGGGGAAGCCGCTGGTTGGGGTAACCAGAGAACAGGCACTCCCGTGTCCACCCAACCTCAGAGGCAGGGCCAGAGTGCCTAGTCCCGAGTCCAGGGGAGCCAAACTCCGACAGGGCTTAGGAGAATTTTCCCTTCCCAAAGCACCCAGGTCTTGAAATCTTTCAAGTCACTCAAAAGAAAAAGCCAGGCCCCTTCTGGAGCACAGATTCCTTCTCCCCAGGGCGGGGTGTGGTAGTTTCGTCAGGTCCCTGGAGGAGCTGCTCCTGGCTGGAAATAACTGGTAATCAGGCCCTGGGGCAAATGGAAAGTCAGGAGCGGGAGCCGAGGACCCAGGGGCGGACCAGCTGCCTGAGGCCTGGGGCCCGGAGCTGGGGAGGCAGCTCCTCCTCCACCTGTGGACACGTCCAACTAACAAGAGAAACCTGTGTTCATTGTTGAGCTTCAGAAAAACAGGAGAAAAAGAAAAGGGCCAGTGTCAGCATTTTAAGATAGTGTCTCCTGGTTTAAGCATGTTGGTCTCCTTGGTTTCTTAAATGGGGCAGCGGCCTGGTAGTGTCTATTTTATTGTGCATCTTTAAACTGAATATCGTCACTGTGCCGTGGGCTGAATTGTGTCCCCCATACCCCGCCCAGTTCAGATGTTGAAGTCCTGACCCCCAGAACCTCAGAATGTGACCTTACCTGGAAATAGGGTCATTGGACTTGTAATTATTTAAGGTGAGGTCATATTGGAATAGTGTGGGCACCTAATGTAGTATAACTGGTGTCCTTATAAAAAGGAGACATTGCCCCTGCCTGATGTGGCTCAGTAGATTGAGCCCTGGCCTGCGAACCGAAAGGTCACTGGTTCGATTCCCAGTCAGGGCACATGCCTGGATTGTGGGCCAGGTCTCCAGGATGGGGGCTTGTGAGAGGCCACTGTTTGATGTTTCTCTCCCTTCCTTCCACTCTCTCTAAAAACAAAGAAATAAAATCTTTAACAAAAAGAGTACAATAGCACGTGTAGCCTGAAGTTCTGCTTTCAAGAACTTCGCAGGGAGCCGGCCCTGCCGACACCTTGACCTCAGACTTCAGCCCCCGGGCCTGTAGGAATGTGTTTCTGTTGTGTCATTCAGTCTGCAGTGCTTTGGCGGCCCTGGCAAACAAATACACGTTACATACCCTTTTTTGAATATATACTTCATGATAAATTTTTCTAAGTGCTAAAAAGAATATATAATAGCATAGGAAATACTCATGAACCTTCCGCCAAAATCCGCAATCTTCTGCATGAACGCATATCCGCACGTCCCCTACCCCCCAACTCCTGCGTCGGCTTCACTGAACACCCTGTTCTACTACCCATTTTTCCAACCAATATGTCATGATTATCTTCTCCAACGAGTCTTTAATCTGTTGGTTTTCTGACTGGAAACATATTCCTTCGCAAAAATGCTGAAACATGACAGAAATTTACAATTGATAAGTGAAAATCTCCCCCACCTCCAGGTTTTTTTTTAAATATGCAGATACTAACACGCACAGGTTATTTTCATGCAGAAGTAGCATCACGGTCAACTTCCAGTATTTTATGACTAACAGCCTTGCCTTTTCTTTTTCTTTTAAATATTTTATTTATCTTTATCTTTAGAGGGGAAGGAGAGAGGGAGAGAAATATCAATGTATGGTTGCCTCTTGTGTGTCCCCTGCTGGGACCTGGCCTGCAACCCAAGAATGTGCCCTGACTGAGAATCCAACCAGTGACCCTTTGATTCGCAAACCCGCGCTCAGTCCACTGAGCCACACCAGCCAAGGCTATTTTTATTTTTTAACTGCTCTGTATTAATCGCACTCACCACATCCTTGCACCAAATTCCAGAGGGAACTCGTGCACAGAGCATGTGCTGACAATAAAACGCATATTGGCTTTTGCTCCAAACCCCTCACAGTCTCCTGGTCCACAAGGCTGGATCATGTGGAGGTTTCCTTCTGCCTGGCCCTCAGGCAGGCTTGAGAAGACTCCTTTCTACTTTTTCTCTAATTCTCTCATCCCCTTGGGAAGGTCAGGAAGGGTCAGTTCAGAATTACATGGACCCCTGGCTGGCATGGCATGGTGGGTGGATTTTCTGGGCCAGGTCCCCAGCTGGGGGTGTGCAAGAGGCAACTGATCTATGTTTCTCTCATGCGTGGATGTTTCTCTCCCTCCCTTCCCCTCTCTCTGATAATAAAAAAATAAAATATTTTTTAAAAATGAAAGAAATATCAAATAAATAAGAAGTACTTAATAAAAAGAATAAAAAATAAGAGTGGCCATTGCCACAAGAGAGATAACAATTTGTGGGTTTGATCTTTGCAGAGTCTCAGATGGTTGGGTTACAGGGATTGGGGAATCTATCACTTGGTCAACAGGGAAAAAAACAAATGGGCCGAAGAGAGTAAAATGCTCCCCAACACTGAAAAAATGGATATAGTAGGTATTAGACTGTGAGAGCGAGAGAGAGAAGCAGGTTCTGTTTGGAGAGTGGGGAGTCGGAACTTAAAATTTCAGGTGGACCAGTTGTGTGAGCCTGGCGGTGCACGGCTGAGGTGATAGCGGCGGGGTAAAGGTCATGGAAACGGGTCTGTCAAGGAACTGGAAGCCAGGTTGGGCCAAAGGAAGTTCAAGTCTCCAGAAATCCAGCGAACCCCCCGCGAGTCACGTTACATCTCCTTCTTGATTGGCTGACTGTGAAGCATAGTTGAGAAGATGGCGGCTCCTCGCAAACCTCATCCAAGTAGGTCTGTACACACAGTTGCATTCAGTGTGCAGGATGGCGGTGAAGAGTGCGGGGAAATCAGACCCTTCCTCCTGTATGGACAAAGACACAGGCGAAGGGGAGAGTCTGAGTGGTGAGCAGAGGCCGGTTCCATCTCTGCACCAACAGCAGATTAGAGACAGGGCTGGATTTCCCGAAGCAGGGCGCAGCTCCGGCCACTATCTTGTTCTGTGCCTAGTTTCCTAAAACGTGTCAAATGGAGCAGGTTAGGGTTGTGGCGCTCCTCTAAGTTCTGGGACTCGAGGAGGACCGAAGGCAGGACAAAAATGACAGAGAAGGTAGCGGGGCCAGAACCGTAGGGCCTGCCCGGGCAAGGCTAGCTGGTAGCGTCGCGCGTATCCATGGCGACGAGCCGCGTGGCCCAGGGTGGGCGGGGCTTAGGGCGGAGGGGGCATCTCTGTGACGCCAGGGGCTGGGCCTAAATGGCGAAACCCGAGAGGCTCACCGGGGGGTTTGAACTGGCCAATGGGCGAGCTCCCGACCGTGTGTCGGAGAAGGAGGCGGAAGCGGGGAGGAGCCGCCGCTGGAGCTGGACTACATCCGCCGCGGCGTCTCCATGGCACGACCCTGGCCGCCGATTTCAACGACTTCATAAGGAGGCGTTTCTGGGCTCAGCCGTGTCGCTCCTGGTGAGAGGCCGCCGGCGGGCAGGACCCTGGGCGCTCCGGGGCCGGTGCCGGGGCGGGTCCCCGTGGGCGGAGTGGTCCTCGCCGTTTTGCCGCCGCCCCTGCCCCCTCCGGGTCGCCCCCGGCCCGCCGTCCTCTAGTGCTCTAGTTCTGCTCCCGTCAGAATCTGGACCCCCGCCCCGCCCACTGGCGCGGGCCGTCTCCTCCCGCTAACTGGCCGGCCCGCCGCCTCCCTCCTCACCTGGCCACCGGCGGGGCTCGGCTAGCCCCTCTGCTGCCCTCCGGCAGGGCTTCGCCCCTCTCTCTATGGGCTTAAGCTAGTCCCCAGCTCCCCGCCGGTGGGTAGTCGTTCCTTTTCTCCGCCGACGGAGACTGGCCCCCCGCCCTCTTCCCTGCCTGAGGGCGTCGCCTGGTCCGCCCTTCCCTCTCCGGGGGCCTCGTCATGACAGTTATTTGCCCGATCTTCGTACGCAGCGCTGTCCCCTGGGGACCGCCTCCGGTCCCCGACCCCACTGGAGCGGGTTCACCCGCCGGAGGTCGGCTCCCGCACAACCAGGCATTTAATCCGCTCCAGCTTGGACACTAGATCCCAGCGGCCTCTGCTTCGATCGGGAGGATTTTCCCTCCGCCACCGGGGGTGCCCACTCGTGGCTGAGCGCCCCTTTCCCCCAGTTGCTTCCGCTTTCCTTCCTTCAAATACTATTGGTCCTCATCTAGAGTCGATTCAGTCGGGAACGCCCCTTCTCCTAGGAGACAGTTGCCCCGGCTCCGCCAGGACAAGCCCCCACAACCCTCGCACCCTGCGCCGGTTTTGGCCCTTTCGGGCCCACTTGGGGCCTAGCGGTTCTCTCCCGCCCTCCACGCACGTCAGCTAGCACCTCAGGTTTTCCACTTGGTGGCCCCCCCCACCCTCCCTCCCGGGGCCTGGGCATGGTGGTCCTTTACCTCTAAGTTCTGCCTCCTGTTCTCCCTGGAGAAGGGAGCCCCCTCTGCGCCCCTCGCCCACTTACCAGCGCCCACCCACTGCCCCGCAGGTCGCTCAGCCTCTCCTCTCTCCCCCCACTTTGGCAGGACAGTTGCTGTGCGACCTGGACAGTAGAGAGGAGCGCCTCCCAAGTTTTCATCCAACTGCTACCCCCAAAGCTTCCACCCTCCTCTCCTCAGAGAGGACGTTTGATGCCGGGCCCCTGAGAGTCTCATTGACAAGCCCCTCTGGGTCCCCCTGAACAGAGCCCACCTTTGCGGCTTTGATGCCTAGTCATGTCTGCCTCATCCTCAGGCGGCTCCCCCAGGTACTGCCAGTGGGGGGGGCGCCTCCACCGGAGGGCAGGGAAAGGTGGTCAGGGGCCCCAGGGCCAGGCTTGCTGGAGGCTTCTCTTTTCAGCTTCTCTGTTCAGTGTATTGAAAGTCTGCACCAAAATACTTGGAAATCGTTTTTAAAGGGAAGGAGGGGAAAAACTGCGTGCGCACGGGTCTCAGCTCTGCTCCCCTCCCTCCCTTTCTCCCTCTCTTCCGAGTTGTCCCAGTTCCTGGTAGCAAATTGGGTCACTATTGTTGTCTCATTGGAGTACAAGGCTCACATCCTTTTGAAAGGAGACCAGGAGTAAACGAAGGACAATGGTGTAGGAGATGGATTGGCAGTTAGCAAGGCGTTGCTGGAAACCAAGTGGTTTGAGGGGGAGAGATTACCCAGATCTTCTGGCTTCAAGCGAGCAGAAATGTTCTAACTGATGAGGGGACAAGAAAAAGAAGAAGAAGAAGAGGAAGAAGAAACCTACTCAGATTTGGTATTCCTCAGCTAAAGGATTAGTAGGGCCCAGTAAATATTTTCTGTCATTTATCAGGTTGTGTTATAAGAGCAAAATGCAGGCTAAAAGGCTCAAGGGTTTTTGTATTGCATTTTTATGTTGCATTATTTCTCCAGGTATTTGTGGGGAGGGTGAGGTCATATTTTGGGGCTGTTAGAAGGCAGTGGGATGGATCCAATGAACTTTTCAAGTGCCTTCCCATCCTGGAATTCCTGAGTGTCTTGCTGCCAGATTTTGGAGATGAAATGTTTACTACATTTGCAAATCCAGTGATGGGGCTGTTTGTGTATAACATGAGTTATATATGGTGTTTTTATGTTTATTTTGAAGAACGTTTATTTATTTATTTATTTTTAGAGAGCGGGGAAGGGAGGGACAAAGAGGGAGAGAAACATCAGTGTGTGGTTGCTTCTCTCGAGCCCCGCGCTGGGGAGCTGGCCTGCAACCCTGGCATGTGCCCTGACCTGGAATCAAACTGGTGACTCTTTGGTTCCCAGGCTCGCTCAATCCACTGAGCTGCACCAGCCAGGGCATAACCCTGTTTCTTAAAAGCTTAAAGAGTACCAAGTGAGCTATTTTGGCTAACACTAAATTTTCCTCCTGTTAGTTGATCATTTGACTGTTAGTTTTATGAATTTGAGCCACAGGGACTTTGTTCCAGAGCTCATTGCCCTGTCTTCTCATGTCAGTCGTTTCCTGAGCATTGGTTCAGAGCCGCCTGTGCTCCAGGCACTGTCTTGGGCACTTTCACCCTTAGCCAGATGAGTACCCTGGCTGCTGCTCCTGTGCTGCCTGCTTTTTGTCACCTGACAGGATGACACCTGGGCTTTTCAGCAAAAGGTCACAATCCGTGTGATGCGATGGCATGTTAAAAGGCCAGCCTTGTGAACGCCCACCACCCCTGTTTCCATCCCGCTGCAGGGCACACCATGCATGCTTGGTGTCCATGTGAAGGGAGCCAAGTGACCCCAGACTGGTCCTCATCACTGCCACCATGTTCCCACCACATGTAGTATGTAACTCTGGGAAATAGAAGAGCCCTAAGTGTCCGCTTATAATCTGGTCCTTGTGCCTGGGTGCAGGTTTCCATCGTGTGGGAAGAACGGAGTAACAAGTCTCACGCAGAAAAAGGTCTTGAGGACACCCTGTGGCGTACCCAGTGTGACAGTGACGGTAGGTGACACGCACAAGGAGCGGCCCTCTGGTCTGAAGCGCTGCCAGAAACGCTTCGGTACCCCCTCTTCCAGGAACCGCCCTGCCCTGCCTGAAAGCATGGCAGCCTGATGCTTTGCTAGGTGCCTTCATTTGTGTCCTGCTGATGGACTGATTTTTTTTTTTGCTTGTGGTAAGGCTGCCAGGTGCAAGGAGGTTGTCTTCATCCTTCCAAACAAATTTCAAAACATTTTAATAACAAAAATAAGAAGAAGATTAGAGAGGGGGCTGGGGGCTGATGGTGAGTGAGGTGTATGTAGTTGGGATTTGGCCTTGCTGATATATTTTTTAGAAGTGATACAACCTTCTCATCTTGGCATTCCCTCTAGCTCTCTGTTTTCATCACCCCTTCCCTGCCTGCTGCCTGATTTGTTTTGCACCCTAATTTTGTGTGTTTGCCCTGCTAACACGCATGTGCAGTGCAGATTACAGTGTAGAAGGGACTCACCTGCTGCCCAGCTGTGCTCCACGGCCGTGCTCCACGGCCGTGCTCCAGCAGGCTGGGACGGAGGCTCGGGCTCTTTTGTGGAGACCCTTCTCTCGGCTGGACCTGGATCTCACTGGTGGTCTCCCGCTGGGATCTCTGCAGGACCCTGCTGCATAGCACTGCCGCCTTGGCTCCCGCCTGCATGCTGTAGTCAGTAGCTGTCCTGCTTGCTTGGTGGCTAGGCTTGCAGTGGCCCCCAGAGGCTGCCAGCTCTGTTTTTTATGCCCAGTTTACTCATCCGCAGATCAACCTTTTTTGTGTTGTCTTCCCCGGCCTGCCAGAAGCAAACCATGAAGGACCGCTCATCAACTCCCCCCTTACATGTTCACGTGGATGAGAACACCCCTGTCCACGTCCACATAAAAAAACTCCCGAAACCGTCAGCGCCCGGCAGCCAGGTAGGAGCATGCTCGTGAGGCGAGGTGAAGGCTGCGGAGCAGGGTGACGCCTTGCAGCTCAGCCTCCTCGCACTGCCAGCTCCGAAGGTTTGACAGACGCTCTTGATGGCGGGTCTCAGGTGCCTGGTTAGACGGTAGGCAGGCCTGTCATGCAGAAACGGTGGTAAAAGTCAGGAGAGGCTCCCGTGCAGCGTTGGAGTCGGATGCCAGCAGAGTGACGCCACCACGAGCTGTGGGGAAGTGACCCTGGGTTTGTCCCTTTCCACAGAAATCTCATAAGCGCGGAATGAAAGGGGACACCGTGAATGTGCGGCGGAGTGTCCGGGTGAAAACCAAGGTACCTTGGATGCCCCCTGGAAAATCATCCACCCGGCATGTGGGATGCAAGTGGGAGGTAGGCTCACTCCTGTTCAGGCTCTTCTTCTCGGCCTGCTCAGGGTCGGTCTGGCTCAGGGTCGGCTGTAGCTGTTAGAGACATCCCTGTGGGTCCCGGTTACTTAGAGCCTTGCTGGGCCCCGAAAGTGCGTGAGTCTTCTTGAGTCCCCCACAGCACTGTGGTGTAGTAGGTCCTGCTCTCCTGATGTGTGGACGAGGAAACCGAGGCCCAGAGCGGTGAAGGCTCACAGGGCAAGTAGCAGAGCTGGAGTTAGGACTGAAGGGAGGATCTCATTCAAGATTCTGGACTTTTTAAAAAACTGATTTTTAGAGAGAGAGAGAGCAACTTGTCATTTCAATGATTTAAGCGTTCATTGGTTGATTTATGTGCCCTGACTGAGGATCGCGCCTGCCACCTTAGTGTGTCAGGACGATGCTCTAACCGACTGAGCCACCCGGCCAGGGCCCTCTTGACCCCTCTACTGTGTATGTGAGGGGCTGCATGTCTTTCTCCAAGTAACTGCGATAGGACCCGAAGCGTAACCAAAAGCACACGTGCACCAGAAGGTATGTATCGAGGAAAGAAGCGTCTCCTCTCAGGCAGTCACCCTAAGACGGTGGGCACGTTCCACAAAAACCATCAAAGCCACTTTGGGGACAATCTCCTGGGGCACAATTGCCTTCAGATTTAGTTGTCAAGATCCCAAGAGAACTGTCATCTTTCTTTTAGCCACACCTCAGCATGTGTTGCCTGTCCCTCATCCCCGCAGCACCTCATGCTCCGTGTGTTCACTGAGACTCATGCGGGGCCCCTGGGCCCTGGGTCAACCTGCCTTCTGCTCACACTCCGGTGGCCTGCAGGGAGAAAACTCAGTGAGGGGACAGGGCCTCTCGGCCATGTTTCAGGCAAAGGCCTCGTTATTGGGACATATAGGACTTGAGATGACTTTAAAATGGTGATACCTGCTCTGTTTGGAAAGATTCATCTTTTTCTAATAGTTTATTACTTTAAAAATTAGAAATAAATAAAAGTAAGTACTCTAAAGTTTATAATCATACTTGTGGTTTTGACCTCTTGGTTTATTAATTTTTCTCTAAGATATTAAGATAGAGCGGAATGTTCTAGGGAGTGAATGAGACGTGTTCTAACGAGCGTGTGTGTAAATTACAGGAAAGATTGGAATTCACACGGTGTCATTTTTTTTGCTCTGAGGACCTCACTAATAATGAGTGAAATATAAATGAAAAACAACTCCATTTTAAAAACAAAAAGCTATCGTTTGTTGAGTGGAAAAAGTTGAAAGGATTACAGAAGTCTTGTACTGTCAAGCCTGAGCGGTATCAGTGAATCTTTCCAGACAGCTTGTGAGAGGGTCCTTAAACCGACTCAACTGTCCTGGAGGCAGCTTGGCAGCAGCCATCGGAACGCTGATTCTGTAATTTCTCCCTTAGGAATTTACCCTTAAAACGTCACGGAAGGTACAGGGATCTGTGTATAAAGATGTTTGCTGTAGCATTGTTTATAGTAGAGAAAAATTGGAAGCAAGCTAAATAATCCACCAGGAAGGTATTGGTTAAATCATGATACCTTCACATAGTGGAATGCCATGCCAACGTGACAGGAGGTGGGGGCAGTATTTGTACCCGATGACGAGTCCCACGGTCACACGGAGTATGGAGTTCGGCGCTGGATGGCGCAGAGAAGGGCGTCTGCGCGGCCTTGTGTCGTGGAGACGTTTGTGCGCATCAGATGCTTCCTGGGAGATTACATAGGAAGCGTTGAGCTATGCTCACCCCTGGAATGTGGAAGCCTCTAACGGTTGATTATTTTTTATGGCCTGGTTGAATTTCTTTATAACAAGCTTACTATATTTTATAAACTTAAAATGCTTTTTAAAAAAAAAACTTACTTATTTATCTTTAGAGAGGAAGGGAAGGAGAGAGGGAGAGAAACATCAATGTACGGTTGCCTCTCATGCATCCCCGGCCAGGAACTGGCCTGCAACCCAGGCATGTGCCCCGACTGGGAATCGAACCGCGATCCTTTGGTTCGCAGGCCCGCTTCGGTTACAGCCAGGCCTATACACTTAAAATGCTTTTCAAAAAAATAAGAAGACTTGGCAGTTTTGTGGGAACTGACTACCCGTTGACATGGGCTGCTAGGAACTGTGGCCTCCTCTGGAGAGCTCAGTGGCCCCTCCAGTCCTGGGGCCGCGGAGTCCAGAAACAGAGGGGCCCAGAGAGGCGACGTGTCATCTTGTCATCTCTCAAAGAGTAGCCGTCTTGCACGCGGTTTGGGACTTGCCAGGGCCCTCCGAGTGTCTGGGACACCGCAGCCTGGGCGCCCTGTCCATTTCGGACAAGAGAGAAGAGACCCTAGGAGGGGGTTTTGGTGGGGCGGCTCACGGGCCCGGAGGCTGCTGCGTGCGGGAGGGTTCTAGTTGGATTTTTATTTTTTCAAAGGCACATGAAAGTGTTTTTTAAATGTTTTTTATTGATTGACTTTAGAGAGAGAGAGTGGAAGGGACAGAAAGAGATAGAGGAAAAAAACATCAATTTGTTATTCTCCTTATCCATGGATTTACTGGTTAATTCCTATATGTGCCCTGACCAGGGATTGAACTTACAACCTGAGCACCTGGCCAGGGCTAGTTTGATTTCTAAAAACCCCTTCTGGTACAGAAGATTAGCTTTGGGGGAAGGACGGTCTGGGTTTTTTCTCTGTTATTAAAGTGACCTATTTCTATTATGGAAAGTTGAAGATACAGAAAAGGAGAAAATTATCTATAATTCTCCTACTCTAATAGACACTTTAGAAGTGTGTTGCTTGATGATTTCTTAGAAAATATCTGTGTGGCCATTGCCCAGCTTCCCCAGAACCCCCTCTGCTCCTGTTTTTGTTGCCACGACTCCCAAGAATAATTCATTAGTTTTGAATAATACAAAATGAGTATTTTAGTACTTTTACTCTCACTTTTTCCTATGCAGTTTTTTAAAAATTCTGATTATAATGATGTTGTCTATGTATTTTCCTATAACTTTTTTTCTTATAAAAACTATGCATAGTTATTGTTGGCACATTAGAAAACTTATTTCTCACTGGTGTGACTGGTTGGGCATCGTTCTGCAAACCAAGAGGTCACCAGTTCGATTCCTGGTCAGGCCACACGCCTGGGTGCTGGGCCAGGTCCCTGGCAGGGGGTGTGGGTGAGGCAACCAATGGATGTTTTCTCGCACGTTGCTGTTTCACTCTCTTCCTCCCTTCCTCTCTCTCTAAAACACAATAAATAAAATCTTTAAGAAAAAGAAAGAAAATCCAAATTAAGGAAGAATCTAAAAAATAGCTGTGACCCTGCCACCCTGGGAAGACCACGTCACTTGCAAGTCTTCCTGATCTTTTCAAATGAACAGACTCTTTTTTGATTTTTGTAGCAATGGGCTCATATCTTCATTGTCACACTGTATCCTTCTTTTAAAACGTGCTTTGACTGTGTTTGCCTTGCACGCTAGTATTTAACCAGTACTGTTTTGTCATCCATTTCTGTATATCCTTGCCTTGAATTTCAATATTGGTTCACGTTCTCAATCAATTCTGAAGGCACACGCGTTTTTTAAATCGTACGCTGAGATCTGCTTGTTTGCTGTAACAGTTGCAGCCTGAATGAACACTTCCTTTTAATCCTGATGGTCATCATTTTGTCCTGGAAATTGAGAAAGTCAGGTGGCTCAAGAGGAGTAAAAAAACTGTACAAATAATGAGAAGTAGCAACTACTCAGTACGTCAGAATAATGTATAGAATGACTGAAGTTCGATTTCTCCAAAGCCCATGAAAATCTTGGATCCCGGATTATAATATTCTCTCTGCGGTCTTTTTGTTAAATATATATTTTTAAGGATTTTATTTATTCTTAGAGAGGGGGGAAGGGAGGGGGAGAGGGAGGGAGAGAAATATCAATGTATGGTTGCCTCTCATGTGTCCCCTGCCGGGAACTGGCCTGCAACCCAGGCATGTGCCCTGACTGGGAATTGAACCGGCAACCCTTTGGTTCCCAGGCCAGCGCTCAATCCACTGAGCTGCACCAGCCAGAGCGAAAAGTCTTTTTTCTTTTAATTTTTATTTATTGATTTGAGAGAGAGAAACGTTGATTCGTCGTTCCACTTATTTATTCGTTCACTGGTTGATTCTTGCTCCTCCTTGACTGGGGATCAAACCTGTGACCGTGACATGTGGTGCCGGCACTCTAGCCAGCTGAGCCGCCTGGCCAGGGCTCTTTTTCTGAAGCCCTCAAAGCAAAGTATTATACAGCTTTGCATGGACTTTTTTAAAAAAAATATTTTATTTATTTATTTTTAGAGGGGAAGGGAAGGAAAGAGGGAGAGAAACATCAATGTATGGTTGCCTTTCGTGCGTCCCCTGCTGGGAACCGGCCTGCAGGGAACTGGTCTGCAACCCAGGCATCTGCCCTGACTGGGAATCGAACCGCGATTGCCTGGTTCGCAGGTCTGCGCTCAATCCACTGAGCTACACCAGCCAGGGCTACATGGACTTTTCTGAGGGGCACGTTCATTTAAAAATTTTGTAAAAAAAATATATGTTGATACGTTGAAATATTTTTAGATGACATACCATATTAAATTATTCAGTATGCATTTCTAATAATTTTCTACCTAACCAAAATAACAATGATTACTCCTAAAATCTTTATTTCTAAATATCATACGTTATCTGGTACGTATTCAGATTTCTTCACTTGTCCTTAAAATACCTTTTATAGAAGATTGGTTGCCTTTGCAATTGTCTACTATTAGGCATTCATATTCATTTAAAAGATTCTGACATCTTTCACTTCTACCCTAGGCATATGAAAAACATCTCTTACCCCAAACTTTTTACTGTTTCTGCCATTTTTGTCATATTCTTTATTTTAAATGTTTTTTAAAAATATTTTATTATTTATTTATCTTTAGAGGGGAAGGGGGGGAGGAGAGAGGGAGAGAAACATCAATGTATGGTTGCCTTTTGTGCGTCCCCTGCTGGGAACTGGCCTGCAGGGAACCGGCCTGCAACCCAGGCATGTGCCCTGACTGGGAATCGAACCGCGATCGTGTGGTTCGCAGGCCTGCGCTCAATCCACGGAGCTACACCAGCCAGGGCCCATATTCTTTATTTTAAACTTCATTTCTCTGTTAGAAAACCTTTGAAAACACTTAAACAAGGGCAGGTGACATTCCTTCCGGAAGGAGCAGAAGGTTCATGATCCCGGGGTTGGCCCTTCGGCCGTTGGGTCCTTCCTGCCTCCAGCGGACCGGCAGGTGCGGCGGAGCTGCCGGCCGGGGGCTTTGCCTTATGGGTGCCTGTGTTCTCCCTCCCCCGCATTAGAATCCACCTCACTGCCTGGAGATCACGCCCCCATCGTCAGAAAAGCTGGTCTCAGTGATGCGGTTAAGTGACCTCTCTACAGAAGATGACAACTCAGGTCACTGCAAAATGAACCGTTATGATAAGAAGATTGACAGTCTTATGAACGCGGTTGGTTGTCTCAAATCTGAGGTGAGGATGTGGGGGCTGCCCAGGCGCAGCGCGGGGGGGCCGCCCTCCCCCTCAGCAGGCTTCCCAGGACTTCAGATGCCCCTGGAGAGGTAGTGGGGGCAAAGTGGCGTCCCTCTGCATTGAACTCTTAGCCTGTGCCTGGCCCTGACCTTGCCTGGTGTTCTGTATGGACCGCTTGTTTTAATTTTTTACAACAATAGATGAACCTGGTCGTATTACTGTCCCTGCTTTGGAAATGATGTGACGGGGACTCTGAGACCTCTGCTTTCCACTTTACACAAAAGATTTTTTGAAAAACAGAGTCCCATAGAGGTGAAGGAAGCTTGTCTTCAGTTGCTGGCCTGCGTCTGTGGGTGGGATATGGCAATGAATGGGGTTGGAACTGACCTGGAAGACCAGGGCCCCAACCAGGAGGTTGGCGTTGCGGGCATGAAATCCAGGCCCTGCTGGCAAATCCAGGTCCTGCCCGCTACGTGGCCTGTGTCTTTAATCCTCCACCCCGCACTTGGGGCCCACAGCCCCTCCTAGGAACCTGGGGCTGGCTGCCTGGCAACAGCCCTCACTTCCGCCGGAGCCCACAGCACAGGGGCCATATTGTCCCATCTCTCCTCCAATTGAACGATGGGTTTGTGTCCTGGCTCGGTCCCCAACCAGCGAGCCACTCAGGCTCTCTGCACTCGGTCTCCTCAGTAATGAGGAAATGACAGGTCTAGCACCTGCCCAGGGTCTTGGGGACAATGAACCAAGATTGTACCCAGAAGCACCGAGTGCTTGGCAGCTCTCACTTAGAGGTGCCCCGAATGTGGCCCGAAGCAGTGGGCCTGGCAATGTGGCGGAGACGATGGGCTGCCCCTCAGTGGCCCCTGCCTGCCTGCCCCCACACAGGTCAAGATGCAGAAGGATGAGCGCCAGATGGCCAAGAGGTTCCTCGAGGAGCGGAAGGAGGAGCTGGAGGAGGTGGCCCAGGAGCTGGCCGAGACCGAGCACGAGAACAATGTGCTGAGGCACAACATCGAGCGCATCAAGGAGGAGAAGGACTACACCATGTGAGTGGGCCCCGCCCTGGAGGTCGGTCCCTCCTGTTACCTGATTGTGGTGCGAGGGAAGAGGGATCCCCCATGGTGTGTGTGGGGGGGGCAGGGGAGCCTCTCTGGAAAATGCAGTGTTTAAGGGGTGTTCTGTAGATGGTTAGGCAGGTGGGTGCTGGGGAACATTTTGCGTGAAGGCCCCAAGATGGGAGGATTCTGCGACTGAGAAGTGGAAAGCAGGCCAGAGTGAGGAGAGAGGGTGGGCAGAGGGGAAGGGGTGCCACGGAGTTTGGCAAGGGCCGGTTCATGGCAGCCACTTTGAGGTGTTTGCATGGCGGGCAGTTGGGAACCACAGAAGGGTTTTCAAAGCAGGGAGTGGTGTGAGCAGACTGGCTCCAGTTGGAGAGTGGGTGGGAGGGCTCCAAAGCTGATCAGAAGCTGGTTAGGAGGTCATGACCCAGGGCAGAGGTGATGCTCATGGCTGAGACACAAGCAGGACTGTGAGTGACATTATGTGACCTGGTGTGGAAGTCCTGCTTTGGTTGCCATGTGTCTTTCTAGAAGGCTACTTGGGCAAGAGGGCCTGCCCTTTCCCCTCCCCCACCGTCCCCTGACCAGGAGATAAGCCTCACAGGGCATTGTGAGGCGGGCCTCAGGGCCTCAGAGCTCAGGGTGGGCAGGGGCCTGAGTGGGCTCAAAGAGCCCTATTCTTTCTGGCCCCAGGCTTCAGAAGAAACACCTCCAGCAGGAGAAGGAGTGCCTCATGTCCAAGCTGGTAGAGGCTGAAATGGATGGGGCTGCCGCTGCCAAGCAAGTCATGGCCTTGAAGGACACCATCGGAAAGCTGAAGACGGTGGGTGGCAGGCAGGCCAACCTCGCTCTGGGACTGGGCCCAGAGGGGGCAGTCACAAGCTGGGGTGGGGGCTTTGCGCAGTCATTAGGCTGACTTTATGACATCTCCAGGCCGGGGGAGGGCACATGTAACTCCTCAGACCCACCCCCCACTCTCACACTGGAGGCCTGACCCTCGAGGATGACGTCTGGTGGCCAGGGCCTCTAAGGGGAGACCTCATTATGGGTCTCCTGGGATCACTCAGCCATCCAATTCCTGCAAGTACAGTATCAGCCACCAGGTATTGCCTGTCCTTCTGTGCTTCCTCCAGGAAGCCTGCCCTGACTGCACTCTCCCACAGCGAGCTCCCAAATCCCCTTCTCCACTTATCGCTGTCAGCAGGCTTGGATCCTGCCTGTCCTTCCAGGTCCGCCACCTCCAGGGACCCTGCCCTCACCCCCCTGGCCCTGTACACAGCCCAGCTCTTCTTGCCTGGGCTTCCTGGTCCCAGCTCCTCTCAAGTCCCCCATGTGGCCTGTCTCTGCTGTCCCCTCCCTTCTCCCCCACCCTGGGTTGACTGCTTGCTGTCCTCCAGGAGAAACAAATGACTTGCTCAGACATCAATACCCTGACGAGGCAGAAGGAACTTCTCCTGCAGAAGCTGAGCACGTTTGAGGAGACCAACCGCACCCTCCGAGACCTGCTGAGAGAGCAGCACTCCAAAGAGGTGAGCTCCTGGCTCCTGCCTCGAGTGGACTCGGCGCCACGCCGGGCCGCGTTCCACCCTTCGGCAGCCCGTGCCCATCCTCTCTGAACCTCGGTCCCTTCCTCTGGAGGAAGTGTTGTGGGTGCCTGTTGTACGGAAAGGGCTGTGGGAAGATTTGACTCAGTTGTTCACGTAAAGTGCTGGCACTCGGTAGATGTGGAAGCTGGTGGCACAGGAGGGACCTTCGGAGTCAGGAGGAGGGCAGCGGGGAGGCGGGCCGGCGGGCGGGTCGGCCTGTTCCAGGGTAAAACGAGTGATGTAGCGTGGCGTACCCAGGGTCCAGCTTTCTGAAGAAGACCTCCTCCCCAGAGTTCAGTCCCTCTTATGTCTCCTTTCGCGATGACTCCTCGTCTCCCTCCCCTCCGAGGGGACTTGATCTTGATAGTTTCGTCGCTTACATAAGTATGTGTCCCTAAGCAACATCTGGTTTTGAGGAGCAAGTTTTCAAACTTTACATAAGTGGCATTATTCCACATATACTCTATTGAGGTTTCTTTTTTACTCAGTATTTTTATAAAATGTGTCTGTTTTTGATTTTGTTATCATTTTTTAATTTTAATTTTTTAAATTCTTTTTTAAATTGTATTTTTTCCATTATTGCTCCCCCCCTACCTTCTTTCATCTCCTCCCATACCCCCTCCTCCCCAGATTATTCATCTGTTTTTATCCTTGTGGCCGAAGGTAATTGATTTCCACTCCTTTCTTCCATTCCACGACGATACCACCACTCACATATCCATTCTTCTGTCGATGGGGTCCCAGTTTCTTTTGCTTGTTTGCCATCACGAGCACTATTACTCTGAGGAAAACTACAAGCAGTGCCACTCATGAGCGCTATCGTGGTGGGCTGGAGAGTTTCTGGGACATATTTCTAAGAATTTTACTAGTTATAGTAAAATTAGTCTCTTAAAATTGTAATAACTTTTACTTCTAACTCAGTGTTTTCTGGTGGGTGATCTGTACCTCTCTGATTCGTGGCGGCCGAAACGCCCCGCAGAAAGCCCCTCGTGGGTGTGACTCTAGGGAGGCCTTCAGACATGCCCAGCGATGGCTACTGCAGTTGCAAAACCCGGGCTGAACCTTACGGCCCGGAGGTTAGGGGGAGCCGAGAGGTGCAGTGGGAAGCGGGCGAGCAGTGGCCGGGAGAGGCGGAGAGCGCAGACTGCTCCCGGACGGTGCGGGGGGTGCCTTTAGGGTGATGAAGATGTGCCGGCACTAGGTGGTCGTGAGGGGTGCACAATATTGCAGCCGTACTGTAGGCCATGGGATTTTATACTTAATAGTTAAAACGGTAAAGTTTGTGTTAGAGATATTTTACCATAATTTAAAAAAACTAGTTATGAAATGTACCCAAAACAGTTGCATTGTACATTTTAAATGGGTGACTTATATGGTATCTGAATTTATGTCTCAGTAGAAGTATTTTTTTTCAAGATTTACTTATATATTTATCTTTAGAGGGGAAGGGAAGGAGAGAGGGAGAGAAACATCAATGTATGGTTGCCTCTCATGAGTCCCCTGCTAGGAACTGGCCCGCAACCCAGGCATGTGCCCTGACTGGGAATCGAACCAGTGACCCTTTGGTTTTGAGGCCTGTGCTCAATCCACTGGGCCACACCAGCCAAGGCAAGATACTATTTCTCCACGTGTCGCTCCATATAAATGCCTGGAGGAGGATCAGGCGGGACAGGCCCCAAGCTAATAACAGTAGGATTGGGGTGAGGGGGGCTTTAGCTTTATCCATGTTCACCAATTATTTTATAATAAGAATGTAACTTTTTTAATTTCATAATTAAAAGTGTAATTTTAGAAGAGGAGAAGAATCGATAGGCTGTAGCCACCTGGGTTTGTCGTCTAATGACTTGGCTTTCCCTTTGCCTTCCCTGGAAGGATTCCGGCAGGATGATGGAGCAACAGGGAGCCCTTCTGAAACGGCTGGCGGAGGCAGACTCCGAGAAAGCGGTACGTCGGGCGCCCCTGCCCGCTCCCGTGGGGCACCCTGGGAAAGCCGCAGGTGCTGAATGGAGGCAGGACGGCTGCACACCCGCTCACACGTTCCTCTGGGTCTTAGTTTCATGGTCTATAAAATGGGCTGCTGTCCCCTGTCCTACCTGCCCTACTGGGCTCATCTAGTCGAGCAGTGGAGAGCTTGAGCCACCAAGCTGCACGTCACCCTGAGAGATGGTGATGAGGACGATGGATTTACAAATCGCCGTCTGTCACCTGAATTTCCATATTCGTACTGTGGATGGAAAGCCATCCAAAGGTGAAGACTTTAGACTCAACGATTCCAATTCTAGGAATGCCTCCCAAGTCAGCATGTTCCAAAATCTACTCCATGGAACCCTAAGTTCCTCCAGATGTTAACGGGTGCAAATAGAAGAGGAGGGGGGAGGGGTCCACAGGCAGACAAATCTGGAGACTCCTGGCTGGCCGGACACACAGTCCGGCAGGTTCGTCAGCCCCGGGACCCCTTGCGCCTTTGGTGCCTTAGCGCCCGGCGTGCTCCCCAGGGTTTGGCCCTCAGGGCCCAGTGCCTCGCGGCACGTCTGTGCGCAAACTTCAGTGGTCAGGTGGCGATGTCTAACCCTGCACTCCCAGCCGGGGGGCTTTGTCACACTGGGACGTATCAGCACCTGGAAACGTGATGCTGCTGTTTCAAAGGCCGTGGGAGATATAATCACAAATGTGGCACATGTGGGGATGTAGATTACAGAGGAAAATAAACAGGTGTCTTCTCACCGTGCGTTGTCTCTGGGTTGGGGTTGGGGGCTTCTTTAGCGTATTTCTGTGCGTATTTCAGTGTTTCCCACAATTAATGTTATCTTATTTTATTAATTTGTCATTTTTATTTTACATTGTTATGTGAAATTACCTCTTGCCATGCCCCCAACCAGGGACCTGGCCCACAACCCAGGCATGTGCCCTGACTGGGAATCCAACCGGCAACCTTTTGGTTCCTAGGCCAGCATTCCAGCCACTGAGCCACACCAGCCAAAGAATTTTTATCTTAAGAAACTTAAAGATAAATTTTTTATTTATCTTTAAAAAATAAATAAAATTTTATTTATTTTTAAAAAGATTTTATTTATTTATTTTTAGAGAGGGGGGAAGGGAGGGAGAAAGAGAAGGGGAGAAACATCAATGTGTGGTTGCCTCTTGTGCGCCCCCTACTGGAGACCTGCCTCAAAATCCAGGCATGTGCTCTGATTGGGAATCGAACTGGCAACCCTTTGGCTCGCAGGCTGGTACCCAATTCACTGAGCCATACCAGCCAGGGCACCTTATTTTAAATTACAAAATAAGTATGTGTTTACTGTCTTTGACATTTAATTAAGATGTTAGTTGTTTTCTGCCAGGGTCTCTGTGACATGGGCCAATGTATTTGGCACCTTGGGCACCAGTGGCCAGGTCCTCCCAGGAGTGTCTCCTTTCTGGCCTGGGCTCCCTAGCTTCTCCCAGGGAGCTCATGAAGGTGTGTGTTCTCCGCAGCGGCTGCTGTTACTACTGCAAGATAAGGACAAGGAGTTGGAAGAGCTCCTCCAGGAAATACAGTGTGAGAAGGTACTGTCCCCAGCGGTTGCTCCTCCTTATGGGCTGGCAGAGCCCTGCGGGTGGAGTGCGCTCTGGAGTTGGAGACCTGGGTTCGAGCTCTGGCTCTGTCATTTTCTCCATCTCTGCAAAGGCTCAAGCAAAGACAGCATCCGAGCTCTCTAAGTCCATGGAGACCATGCGTGGGCACTTGCAGGCACAGCTTCGGTGCAAGGAGGCAGAGAACAGTCGCCTGTGCATGCAGATCAAGGTGCCTGCTGGCTGCATGGGTGGGGAAGATGCGGGAAGGGGCCTTCAGTCCAAGGGCGGTAGCCTGGCCGAGGCTGTCGCACTCAGTGAGGCTTTGCCCGGGAGGACTGTGGGGCAGCTGCTGCCAAAGCACTTGTACTTCAGAGAGACTCTGGGACGCTGGCAAGGTGGACCCGGAGGTCCTGGGCGCCCTTCCCAGTAGTGAGTGGGCCGGATTTCCTGGCCCTGAGCCCGTCACTTTGTCCCTTAGGCCCATTCTCCTAAGGATCCATGGGGAGGAGGGACAGTCTCAAATGCTGATTGTGTCTGTAAGCCAGGGACCCTCTGAAGTCACAGCTCTGCTGAGGGACAGGGACGTAACAAGAGAGTTCTCATGTGAAGACCCGTTGGGTTCAGTGACCCAGGGAGGGCTGTGGAGAGCTTGGGAAGGGCCCGCGTCTCTGGTCTGTGTTTGGGGAGCCACAACCCCCCACAGTTCATGACCTGTTCTTTCTCCCTCTCCCTCATTCCCTCTGCGCTCTGGTCCCCTTTTCTCCCTCTCTCCCCTTGACTCTCTCCCTCGCCCCACCCTCCTCCCCCAATCTGCCCCCTGGCTCCCCGCACCCAGAACCTGGAACGCAGTGGGAACCAACACAAGGCGGAAGTGGAAGCCATCATGGAGCAGCTGAAGGAACTGAAGCAAAAGGGAGACCGAGACAAAGAGTCCTTGAAGAAGGCCATCCGAGCCCAGAAGGAACGAGCCGAGAAGAGTGAGGAGTACGCTGAGCAGCTGCACGTGCAACTTGCCGACAAGGTAGCAGCCGTGTTGAGGCGGGCCGCTCCGAGGCGGCTTGGGTGGGTGGGTAGATGGGTGGGTAGCAGATGGGTGGCTGAATGCAGGTGGTTTGGGTGGGCGGAGGCAGAGTCTGGATATAGGTGGCCGGGGGCGGGGTGGAGGTGCGTGGACGGAAAACGGCGGTGGAGAAGGGCCAAGGAGCTGGTAGGGTGGATGGCTGGGGAGGGGGCGGTAGTGAAGGGATGAAATGGGCGAGGGATGACAGTGGGGTTGGGTGGCTGGCTGGAGATGACCAGAGGGTCATTGGATAACTTCGCCACATCAGTACTGCAGGTAGGAATGACGGTTGAGGAAGGGTGTGCAGCGGTGCACGTGACCCCTGGGGATCTAGAGCCTCCCCGGCCTCCCACTGCTGCCCTCGGGGTGAGGGGTAGGGGGTCGCCCAGGGCGACCCAACACCCTCAGCGCTGTCACCAGGCTGATGGGCCCTGTGGTCCTGTGTTCCCAGGATCTTTATGTCGCAGAAGCTCTGTCCACTCTGGAATCATGGAGGAGCCGCTACAACCAAGTGGTGAAAGACAAGGGGGACCTCGAGCTGGAAATTATTGTCCTGAATGAGTACGTCTGTGTTAGGAGGGGGAGCGAGGGCACGCAGAGGGAGGTGGGTACGCAGGAGAAAGGAGTCTAGCAGCCTAAGGCATCTCACGTGGCTGCCATTCGGTCTCCTGGTCAAGGGCTGCCCTTTGCTGCTGCGGGCAGCCCTGAGGTGGGCTTTCTGGTTGGGCTCCAGCCCCAGTCCCTGGGTCCTCGTCCCCAGCATTTCTGTGGAGGAAGGGGCTGGGCTTCTCTAGTCACGGAGGCTGGGCCTGACCTGGGTCCTAATCTGCACAGCACAGGACATGGGCACAGGAACACCGGTCACCTCGTGCCTGTCCTTGGGGACCAGAGGGCCCGTGACCCTTGTAGCTCTCTCTGCTGTTTGCCAACCAGTCAGCAGGGCAGAGGTATGGCCTGGGAGTAGAGGACAAAAGTGGCCGCACTGAGTACTCTGCAGTGACCGTTCAGACGTTCCCAGTGTCAGCAGTGTTCACTCATTTAAACATATTTACTGAGCACCTGCTATACGCCAGGCCCTGTGCTGGCCTTTAGGGGTTACAGCAGTTAGAAAAATGCATCCTCTGCTTCCATGGAGGTAACACTGAACCCAAAGAGAGGGGCTGCGCCCCGGGGCCAAGGACAGGTCACAGGAGACTGCCTCAGTCTCCAGGTCACACAGGTCTTCCTGGAGGAAATGTCATTCACTGCGTTGAACTCGATTTAGCAAACACTGTCCTGAGAACCTGCTGTGCGCCGGGCCTGTGCCAAGTGCGACTCTCAGAAGGTTCTCCGTCCCACGGGAGAAAACATAATTAAGATAGAAGGGATGTGTGGTGCGGCTGAGAGGGGTATGGGGAGAGATAACTCTGAGGAAGGAAGCCTGAACTGGGGTTTTACGGGCGAGTAGGAGTTCGCCAGGTAAAGTAACGTGGTGTGTATGCTTGGGCCTGGTCATTGCCCAGGAGTGTTTGCTGCCTGAACCGTACGTGATCGGTACTGAGAACACACACCCCGGGAAGGTTCTGTACTGAGCCTGCGGTCAAGGTAGATAGATGAGGGGCATCTGTGAGCACCAGCGCTCCCCTGAGGCTGTCTCTGCTCCTGCTGATTTCCCTGCCATGTGACTGGGGGGAGGGGCACCAGGCAGAAGGGTAGCCTGCTGCTGAATGGGCTCCTTTCCCGCTGTTGCTGTTTCATTTACATTCTTTGTAATACCCGCCTGAGCTGGGTGAGGGCTCACACACGTGAACAAGCCAATCACGATCACCACACCTGCCCTTGCCTGGGAGGTGGGGAGCCCCAGTGTGATATGTCCCGGAGGGAGAGGGATGCCTGGGGCATGGTGTCCCTGACCACCCAAGCGTGGAGTTCTGTCCTAACTTCAAGACCTGATTGGCTGAGAGACCCAGGGGGTGCTGTGGGGAGCTGGGAGGTGGTCGGGTCTCTAGTCCTTGACTTCAGGAAGTGTGTTGGCCTTGTGCGAGAAGACCGGTAGGGGGAGACAGTCTCAAAGGTGGCTATGAGAGGCGGGGTACGTGGGAACGCCCCAAGCAGCCATGGCAGGACCGCGCATGGGCTTCCCGGGGTGGAGGCCTGGGAGCAGACAGGGGTTCACGAGGTGGGAGACGGCCTGGGGAGGAGCACTCGGCCCCGCTCTCCCACGAAGACCTGGGCTCCTCAGAGCCTGTGTAATTGATTCTCCCTGTCTGCTTTCACTTTGTCACCTTCCAGCCGAGTGACAGATCTCGTAAACCAACAGCAAACCTTGGAGGAAAAGATGCGGGAAGACCGGGACAGCCTGGTGGAGAGACTACACCGGCAGACGGCCGAGTATTCCGCGTTCAAACTGGAGAACGAGAGGCTAAAGGTCTGTTGTGCGAGCCGGGGCTGGGACAGGTAGGGGGACTGCAAAGGGGCCGGTGGCTGGGCCCCAGCGATGACCACGAGGGTCCTCAGAGGCCCTGGAGGGAAGAGCATGATTAAGAAGCTCTGGAGTCAGGAAGGCCCGGATTCAGGTCCTTCCTCTGCCCCTTACCAGCTGCAGGACTGGGGTGAGACCTCTGCCCCTTCATTGCTGAGGTTTCTGTAGCGAGAGGAAATGAGGCCCCGGTGAGACTGGTGAGGCACGTGAAGTGTGCAACGTGACGCACCCGCCGTGCCTGTGCACTACACCTGACTTGGAGGCGAACCTTGACTCTCCTGGGGCACTGCTGGGCCCCCTCACATGAATTAATTCTCCGTTTAATCTCCCGGTACTGAGATTATTGTCTCTATAGATAGAATGAGGAAACTCAGGCTTAGAGAAAGGTCAAGTTTCTTGCCAAGATTTTGTCCCTGGAAGTTTTGGGGTTGGGATTTGAACCGAGTCCGAGTCGGGAGCTGTAGCTCTCAACCACTGGCTACGTACCCTCCTAGGGCTCCCGGGGCGAGATGCACCTGGATAGGGGTCGCCATCTCAGAGCCGGCTTTGACCTGGCTTTTCAGTTAATCTGGCAGTAACATCTAGGGGTGGTTTCTGTTTTTTTGGGGTTTTTTTTCTTCTTTTTTTTTTTTTATCAAGAGAAACTATTCCTTGGCCCAAATATGCATGTTTTGTAGTTCAGGAAAACAGGTTCAGACAAACTTCCATGTAATTCACCCCAAAGGAATTCTTTACGTCCCAAGGTCATTTTGCCTTCTGAGAGATGGCAGCCTTCCTCACCTCCCCAGAACCTTTCCTGGGACCCTAATTTCTGTAGGAATCTGCGTGTGCCTGCTTTCCGGGTTCAGCCACACCAAACTTACGGGAAGCTGCGACCCCCAGGACACAAGGCATCTCCCACAGTATGAAACCACAGAGGCTTGGCCAGAAGGCTGTGCAGCCGAGGTCTTGTCAGCGCTGGAAGGCACGGTAGTCGTGTTCCCTGCGACACCAGCATCCTTGCTGATGGAGAAATGGACGGCTAGGGTTATTTCTTTTTCACTGAGCTTTGTGCCTAGCTTTTTCTCGGTGTCGTGTTTCTGAAAGTTGCCCACGTGGTGCGCGGTGGCTTATTCATTCTCAGTGCTATATCACATGACCACGCTGTCCTATGTTCCTCTGGGGTCGGACGTTTGGGTTGTAGAACATCTTTCCTTTTTTAAAAAAAAAATTTTTATTGATTATGCTGTTACAGTTGTTCTATTTCCCCCCCCTTCATTCCCCTCCACCCTACCCCCCCGTCCCCACCATTACCCCCCCTTTAGTTTATGACCATGTGTCTCAAGTCCTTTAGATTCTATATTTCCCATGCTATTCTTGCCCCCCCATCTATTTTCTATCTACTGTTTATGCTACTTATTTTCTGTACCTTCTCCCCCCTTCTCCTCCCCCCACTCCCCTGTTGCTAACCCTCCTTGAGATCTTCATTTCTATGTTTCCACTCCTGATCTAGCTGTCTTTTTAGTTTGCTTTCGTTTTAGGTGTGGTTGTTAATAACTGTGAGTTTGCTGTCCTTTCACTGTTCATGTTTCTTTAACTTCTTTTTCTTAGATAAGTCCCTTTAACATTTCATATAATAAGGGCTTGGTGATGATGAACTCCTTGAATTTGATCTTATCTGAGAAGCACTTTATCTGTCCTTCCATTCTAAATGAAAGTTTTGCTGGATAGAGCAATCTTGGTTGTAGGTCTTTGGATTTCATGACTTGGAATACTTCTTTTTTTTTTCTTTCTTTTTTTCTTTTAATTTATTTTTTTAAATTGATTATGCTGTTACAGTTGTTCTATTCCCCCCTTCATTCCCCTCCACCCTGCCCCCCCTCCCCACCATTACCCCCCTTTAGTTTATGTCCATGTGTCTCAAGTCCTTTAGGTTCTATATTTCCCATGCTATTCTTGCCCCCCCATCTATTTTCTATCTACTGTCTATGCTACTTATTTTCTGTACCTTCTCCCCCCATCTCCTCCTCCCACTCCCCTGTTGCTAACCCTCCTTGAGATCTTCATTTCTATGTTTCCACTCCTGATCTAGCTGTCCTCTTAGTTTGCTTTCGTTTTAGGTGTGGTTGTTAATAACTGTGAGCTTGTTGTTCTTTCACTGTTCATGTTTCTTTAACTTCTTTTTCTTAGATAAGTCCCTTTAACATTTCATATAGTAAGGGCTTGGTGATGATGAACTCCTTGAATTTGATCTTATCTGAGAAGCACCTTATCTGTCCTTCCATTCTAAATGAAAGTTTTGCTGGATAGAGCAATCTTGGTTGTAGGTCTTTAGATTTCATGACTTGGAATATTTCTTTCCAGCCCCTTCTTGCCTGTAAGGTCTCTTTTGAGAAATCTGCTGACAGTCTGATGGGGACTCCTTTGTAGGTGATTGTCCCCTTAGCTCTTGCTGCTTCTAGGATTCTCTCCTTCATTTTAATTTTGGCTAATGTAATTGTGATGTGCCTTGGTGTGTTTCTTCTTGAGTCCAACTTTTTTGGTACTCTCTGAGCTTCTCGGATTTCTTGGAAGTCTATTTCCTTTGCCAGATTGGGGAAATTTTCTTTTATTATTTGTTCAAATAAGTTTTCCACTGGTGGCTGTCCCTTTCCCCCTTCTGGTACCCCTATAATTCGGATATTGGAGCGTTTAAAGATGTCCTGGAGGTTCCTAAGACTCTCCTCATTTCTTTGAATTCTTGCTCCTTGACTCTTTTCTGTTTGGCCATTATTTGCTTTCTTCTGGTCCACTCCACTGATTTGAGTCCCAGTTTCCTTTTCATCGCTATGGGTTTCCTGTGGAATTCCATTCATTTCCATTAGTTTAGCCTTCATATGTTTCTCTAATTTGTGGCTATAATCAACCAGATCTGTGAGGATCCTGATGACCAGTGTTTTAAACTGTGCGTCTGAGAGTTTTGCTATTTCTTCGTCGCTTAGATTTATCTCTGGGGCTTTGAGGTCTTCCTGCGACATTTTTGGTCTGTTCTGGCCCTTTAAATGTGAGAAGTGGAGCCTTGGACTCCCAGGTTGCTGGGTTGTGACGCTGTATGTGGGGGCGTGGTCAGAGCGGGGAAATGGCGGCGCCCTCTGCCGCAGCCAGTCCAACCGCCCACTCCCTCGCCTGTCCACGCGCGCAGTCAACACGCAGCACCGCCTCCCCACTGTCTCCTCTGCAGTCGCTCACCCGGTGGGTTGCTCGGTCGCTCACTAGGTCCAATCCTGCGTTTGGAACTCATGTGTCTGGATTCGCGCGTCTGGATTCCGCGCCTGGGTCCGTCCGACTGGAGTCCTCCTGTGCAATCCCTCACCAGCCGCCGGTTTCACCCCTTACTGGTCGGGCTGAAGAATTTGTTGTTAACGGACTTCCGAAAAGTTCAATTTTCCGTGTTCTGGTTGTGTTTTCTGATGCTAATATTTAGTTGTCCCTAAACTTGGTTGTGTGAGAAGGCACGGCACATCCACCTATACCTCCATCTTGGCGGAAGTCTGGAATACTTCTTTCTAGCCCCTTCTTGCCTGTAAGGTCTCTTTTGAGAAATCCGCTGACAGTCTGATGGGGACTCCTTTGTAAGTGACTGTCCCCTTAGCTCTTGCTGCTTCTAGGATTCTCTCCTTCATTTTAATTTTGGCTAATGTAATTATGATGTGCCTTGGTGTGTTCCTTCTTGGGTCCCACTTCTTTGGTACTCTCTGAGCTTCCTGGATTTCCTAGAAGTCTATTTCCTTTGCCAGATTGGGGAAATTCTCCCTTTATTATTTGTTCAAATAAGTTTTCCACTGGTGGCTGTGCCTTTCCCCCTTCTGGTACCCCTATAATTCGGATGTTGGAGCGTTTAAAGATGTCCTGGAGGTTCCTAAGACTCTCCTCATTTCTTTGAATTCTTGCTTCTTGACTCTTTTCTGTTTGGCCATAATTTGCTTTCTTCTGGTCCACTCCATTGATTTGAGTCCCAGTTTCCTTTTCATTGCTATTGGTTTCCTGTGCAATTCCATTCATTTCAAGTAGTTTCGCCTTCATATGTTTGTCTAATTTGTGGCTATAATCAACCAGTTCTGTGAGGATCCTGATCACCAGTGTTTTAAACTGTGCGTGTGAGAGTTTTGCTATTTCTTCATCGCTTAGATTTATAGGCTCTGGGGCTTTGAGATCTTCTTGAGCCATTTGTGGTCTGTTCTCGCTCATTAAGTACGAGGAGCGGAGCCTTGGACTCCCAGGTCGCTGGGTTGTGACGCTGTATGTGGGGGCGGGGTCAGAGCAGGAAAATGGCGGTGCCCTCCCTGCCGCTAGCCGAGGGGACCGGCTGGGTCCCGGTCCAATCGCCCACTCCCTGGCTTGTCTATCTGCGCACAAATGCGCGACCACAGTCAACCCGCAGCCCTGCTCCCTCGCTGTTCCCCCCGCGGTTGCTCGCTTGATTGCTTGCTCGGTCGCTCACTAGGTCCAACCCTGTGCCTGGATTCCGCACCTGAGCCCGTCTGACCGAGTTTTCCTGTGCAACCCCGCTCCACCAGCTGCTGGTTTCGCCCCTTACCGGTCAGGCTGAAGAATTTGTTGTTAACAGACTTCTGAAAAGTTCAATTTTCTGTGTTCTGGCTGTGTTTTCTGTTACTAATATTTAGTTGTCTCTAAACTTGGTTGTGTGAGAAGGCACAGCTTATCCACCTATGCCTCCATCTTGGCGGAAGTCTCCTTTTTTTAAAAAAATATTTTATTTACTTCCTTTCAGAGAGAGGGGAAGGGAAGGAGAAAGAGAGGGAGAGACATCAATGTGCGAGAGATAAATTGATCAGTTGCCTCTCACACGCCCCCAGTGAGGACCTGGCCCGGAACCAGGCACGTGCCCTGACCGGGAATGGAACTGGTGCTGCATCCACTGAGCCACACCAGCCAGGGCTGGGCTGTAGAGCATCTTTGTGCATCTGTTGGTGTGCCTGCTGTGTTTCTATAGGCTTTATTCCTTGAGGCAGAATGCCAGGTCGTCTGGTGGTGTGCATGAGCTCGGCTTTGGTAGATGGTACCGTTCAATAAAGTCGTCGTCCAGAGTTACACCCCCATCGGGGGTGCATGAGAGTTACAGTCACTCCACGTGTCCTCGCCCACACTCGGCACTGTCAGCCTTTTCCGTGTTAGTCGCTCTGCTGGGAGCGTGGCGGCATCTCCTGCGTTGCAGTGTGGGTGCTGCCTCCACGTCGAACAGCGGGTGGGTTAGTTACGGGACAGCACGTGTCCGTGTGTTGCAGCACAGTGTGGCTGTTCCGTGAAGTGTGTAGATGAGTTTTTCCTTAGGTACTATAATTACAAAGGTAAAGTCTGCTCATAGTAAAAATGTAAACCGTTACAGACACATGATGTGGAAGTGAAAGGCCTCTGCTAACTGTGGATGTGTATTTTCTGGCCCCTCCCCATGCCGACGTGTATTCAAACACAGACACACCATTCATTCATTCTTCTGCAGCTTGCTTTCCTCCTTCAGCAATACTTCATGAATGTTTTCAGGTCAGGTTTTTTGGGTTTTTTTTTTGAGGTTATATCTCTTATAAATGAATGCTTATTTTTTTATTGTATTGCGATAACATGGTTTATTTTGTCCCACCTGCCAAGGTGAGCATTTGGATGGCAGGAGGACATTTATTGACCTTGGAAGTAGTTCGTAACATAATTGTTGATAAAGCAGTAAGTGCGGTATCATCCCTTCCCTGCTGAAGAACAAAACCGCTACACACCTGTTAGTATGTAGCTGCAAACTGAAGTATCTTGCATCCTGATTCATTTGCATTGGTCTTTTTTTCTTAAAGATTTTATTTATTTATTTTAAAAATTTTTTTAAGATTTTATTTATTTAGTTTTAGAGAGGGGAAGGGAAGGAGAAAGAGGGAGAGTAACATCAATGTGTGGTTTCCTCTTGCATGCCCTGCATTGGGGACCCAGCCTGCAGTCCAGGCGTGTGCCCTGACTGGGAATTGAACTGGCAACCTTTCGGTTCGCAGGCCAGCACTCAATCCTCTGAGCCACTTCAGCCGGGGGTTGTTTTTTTGTTGTTGTTTTTTTTCTTTTGGTCTCATCTCCATTTTCTTTACTGATTATTATTGCTTTTGAAATGAGAACAAGAAAGCATGTGTCCCTTATTTGTATCTGTATTCACTCGAGTTAGTCACATAGGAGCCCTGCCCTGGTGCCTGAGGAAACCACTGGTGTGGGTTCGAACAGCTGCGGCTTCCCTCTGCTGTCCCCTTGGGGTAGGAACTGAGGGTGGGGTGATGACCTGATCTGGACCCTTCTTTTCCCCCCCTATTTATTTATTTATTTGCATTTTTATTTTATGAACCTTCTTGTTGGTTACTCATGGGCCACCTCTTCTAGGCTAGCTTCGCTCCAATGGAGGATAAACTCAATCAGGCGCATCTCGAGGTCCAGCAGCTGAAGGCGTCGGTTAAGAATTACGAAGGGATGATTGACAACTATAAGAGTCAGGTAGGGCCCTGGTACCCCCACCCCCCACCCCCACCAGGGCACCGCCTCACAGCGGGCGGGAGGTGCGTAGCCTCGAGGCCTCTGCTGGGAAGGGCGGGGAGTGGGAGGCGTTTTCCACCGGGACAGTGGCTCTGTCCAGGACGGTCAGATGCTGTGTTGGTCCCTAGGTGATGAAGACCAGGCTGGAGGCTGATGAAGTGGCTGCCCAGCTGGAACGCTGTGACAAAGAGAACAAGATGCTTAAAGATGAGATGAACAAAGAGATCGAAGCGGTACTGCTCCCTCCTTGCTTCCCAGTTCTGTGTCCATCGGTCTGTCCCCCTCGCATTGCCTTGGACCCTCCCTGGTGTGGACAACAAAGATTAACAAATCTTAATGCCGAGCCGCTCCCTCTACTGTCTACGTGCTCTCTTCTTATCTCACTTGTGCTTCTTTATCTCCTTCTCCCTCCTGGTTTTTTTCTTTCTTTCTCCAGTTTCCTTTAAAAAAAAAGTCTCTCCTTGGAGCACCCAGGTGAATTCAAATCCACACATGCGCCTATTTCATTTCATTTGGTGTCTTTATTTTGCACCATCCAAAAAATGTGCCTCCCATCCTATTCCCCAAAGAGCCTTATTCTTCCGGAGATGGCGTGGCTGTCTAGAAGTGAAGGAAATCATCTTAATAGTAACCTTGGAGACGGCTGGTTCCCGGCTCAGCCACTGACTTGTTGCATAACCTTGGGCAAGTCACTGCCCCTCTCTAGTCCTTAGTCTCCTTGTCAAGACAAGGAGGGAACAAAGGCCAGATAGCGCTCACCCTGGCCTCTGACCTGTGTAGCCTTGTGATTGCCTTTGTAGGGGATTGGGAGTTAGGCTAGACTTAAATCTTCAGCTCTAGCTGAGTGACCTTGCGTAAATGAGCCTTTGATCCTCAGTGTCCTTCTGTGGGGAAACAGTACCTACTTTATAGGTTGTTGTATGCATTGAGTAATTCAGAGAGCCCTTAGCACAAAGCCTGGGACCTGGCAGTGTTATTTGTTGAGGACTAGGAGGGGCGTCCCAGTGTGTTCCCAGGAGAACAGCTGGATGCCCTCGGTGGCCTGTGGGAGACCTGTGGATCTTGCGGGATCCTTTTCTAAGGGCCTGAGGGCGGCCCTGCCCTAACTCCAAAGCACTGTGCCTAGGCCCTTCAGCAGCTGGACCCTTCTCACCGTGGGCTTTTCCTCCCCCACTCCAGGCACGGAGGCAGTTCCAGTCCCAGCTGGCTGACCTGCAGCAGCTGCCTGACATCCTCAAGATCACGGAGGCTAAGCTGGCAGAGTGCCAAGATCAGCTGCAGGGCTACGAGCGGAAGAACATCGACCTCACAGCCATCATATCAGATCTGCGCAGCCGGGTAAGGGACTGGCAGAAAGGGTCCCATGAACTGGTCCGAGGAGGGGGCCGCTTACCAAGATGAGCTGCACACCCCACCCCGAGGGAGGACTGCTTCCTTTTTCTTGGCTGCCGGCTCTGAAAGGAATGAGCTATCATCAATGCTGTGAAATAAAAGTCTGGTGTGCCAAATGCCTCGTGTTTGCACGGAGTGATTGTAGTTATAGGAGCCGTCACTCTTCGCAGTTGCTGGGCCCTCCTGCCGTCACCCCGCCCTCCAGAGCTCCAAGTCTCCATCTGCTGCCCCTTCCTGCTCCCTGCAGCTCGCAGCCATGCAGCCACAGGCCCCAGGCCCCGGTGTTCTTCCCTCCGGGTGTTCCCTTGCTTTAGCCGCCTTCCCTACTCGGCACAGCCATCGCCTGGGAATCCGCCCCGAGTCAGGGCTCCCTTTCTCCCCAAGCAGTCCGCCCCCGGGTTGCTGGAGCTGCACCTGCGGGGCCTAAGAGAGTATTTGCCGCCCATGTTCAGTGTGACCTTGGACAAGGCCTTTCCCCTCTTTGACCTGCTTCCTGGTACTACTAATAAAAGTAGCTACCATTTTTGAGCACATGTCCAGCGCTCCACCATTCTCGTTTATTTCTCCCAGGAACTTAGTGAGGTGTACTGTGTTCCCCATTTTACAGAAAGCAGCCCAGGGCACAGAGGGGAGAGGTTATTTCCTGAGGTCCCTGGGCTGATAACGTAATCAACATGGGCTGGAGCGCAGGCAGCTGTCTGGTTCGCCAGCCCAAGTTCTCGGTACTCTGCAGTTTCCCGCCCGCTCTTGAACCTGAGCCTTCTCAGGGCCCTCCAAGCCTAAATATGGAGGCTTCTGAGTACAGCATTCCTCTAGGTAACTTCTCAAACTTGCCGGCCTGAAAGACTCAATAGCTTTGTTGTTGTCCGCCTGCCATTGTCCCCAGTTAAGGGAAGAATGAAGTCATCAGTACCAACAAAATAATTGCTAAAAAGCTCCCTGGTGTGTCCTGTGGGCTGCCATCTGCTCTGCCTCCGTGTCCGCCCCGGACCCCACTGAGTGGCCTCTCCCAATCACGAAAGCATTGTCACGAGTGTTGGGGCTCAAACCTGGCTTCCCTCGCTGAAGGGAAGCCCTCCGTCTTGAGCGGGGCCTAACCTGTCCCTGCTCTCTCTCTCCTGCAGGGTGTGCGTTAAGGCTGAGATGCCTGCTGAGAGCAGCGCGCCTCCTTCCTGGGTGCGGATCACAGGCATCGGAGACGGGAGGGCTGTCCTGGGAAGTTCTTTCGTAAACCAGTCTGTGTTCCTGTCATTTTAGATCGAACATCAGGGGGACAAGCTGGAGATGGCGAGAGAGAAACACCAGGCCTCCCAGAAGGAAAATAAACAGCTGAGTCTGAAGGTGGATGAACTGGAGAGGTTAGAGGCACCTGGTCCCATCTCTGTCCTCTTCCTAGGACCTGAGACTTTCAGCCACTTAGCTGCTTTGGGCTTGGTGTGCGGAAGTGGTTGAGGGACTTGAGGCCCTGGAAGGTACTAGGCAGACCTCAGAGGAAAAGCTGCTTCCAACGCAGTGGTAAGCACCGTGGGAGAGAGGAAGGTGGTCTCCAGCCAGGGGGAGGCTCTGGAACAGTGTGATCAGCACCGGACCGCCGGAGGCACCACCTGCCGGGCATACCAGCCGGCCTGTGCACAGCAGTGGGGGCCTTTCCCCTCCATCCTGCTCAGTGTTCCCGATCATCCCTCCCGAGACTGCTCCGTTACTGTTGGAGGCAGGCAGAGGGCAAGTCTACACCTCCGAGAATCAGAAGCCCTGGCCTTGGGTCCCATTATTTTTAATCCTTTTGGACCTCTGATCACTAATCTGGAGAAAGGGATCAACGCAGGGAAAGCAGTGTAGCCTCTGGGGTTATTGTGAGTCTTCAATGAGATCATCTTCGAAGGGCTTATAGCACATTACCAGGCATGCAAATGTACAGCATAGTTAGTGTACAGTCGGGATTATCCCAACTGAAATATGAGGAGACTGAGCTGGGGAGAGGTTAAGTGACTTGCCCAAGGTTACACACTTGGTACCTGGCAAAGCTTCAACTTAAACACTGCCCAACCACCGCTGTCTTCCTCCAGAGCTGCTAGCATCAGGGCTGGGGCCTTTGCGGGAGACCTGAATGGCCTGAGGTCCTAGGAGGCTGTGACTAGTCATGCAGCCCCCAGAGGTAGAAACTTGAACCCGGCGGTCCCCAGGCCTCCACCTCTGCTCTGCTTTGCTCTGCTGGCCTGCAACCCGCAGCTGGATTCAGCAGGCCTTGCAGAGCTCCTTAAATGGGAACACGCTCCAGAAATACAGTGGGGACGTGCTTGCACATCGAGATGGTCACTGCTGCCCCATGGCTGGTCACACAAGATACGGAGTGGCCCAGCTGAAGTCCCTTTGCTGGAGGAGGCAGCAGTGAACAGAAGAAGTTGAGGGCATGAGCTTTGGCAATAGGCCTGTTGGCTGTGCTGACTTTGGATTTCACGTCTCCGAGGCTGGATTTCTTCACTGTAAAGTGGAGATAATAAGGGAACCCACCTTCCCAAGCTGCCTGTTGCTGGATTACATGGGAGGATGCGTGGTCAGTCTGTGCTTGCTTTTCTGGCTCTTCACACAGCTCTCCAACCAGCTGCTCCAGTTGCAATTCCTTGCCGCCTGGCTGATCAGCAGATTCCTTTGGTTTCTTCCTGTGACTCCTTGGAGATTCCCTGCGTGAGGAGAGCCCTGGTCCGGGGGTGCCTGGCAGCCCCCTGGCAGGGCTGACCAGGATAGCTATGAGGATGAGCAAGATCTGACTGTGTGCTTTCACCTAGGAAACTGGAGGCGACCAGCGCCCAGAATATCGAGTTCCTACAGGTGATTGCCAAGAGGGAGGAGGCAATCCACCAGTCCCAGCTGCGGCTGGAGGAGAAGACTCGAGAATGTGGGGCCCTGGCAAGACAGTTGGAGAGCGCCATTGAAGACGCTAGGAGGCAGGTCGGTCTCGGTTCCATTACTCACTAGCTCTGTGACCTTGGGCAAACCACCTAACTTCTCTGAGCCTAGATTCCCATCTGAAAATGGGCATGGAGTAGTAGTACCTGCCTCGTGAGTTCAATGTCAGGATCAAATGGGCAAAGGGCTTGGCACTTGACTCATGGTTGCTCGTGTAATTGTTGCCTGCGTGGGACTCGGACAGGTCTGCCATGTCTTAGGTGATGGCTCGTGGGGTGTTGGGAAGGGACAGGTAAAGACGGTTGTGGAGGTTGTCCCCATAGTTAGCACCCCGTCTCAGGCTCTGAAGAGCTCTCCATGGTGATGTGCAGGTGTGGTCCTTGAGAGCGGGCAGTGGCAGTGGCCCTGCCTTCCTGCCAGGTGTTCACCCTGTCGGGTAGGCACCTCCACCTCTGATCCTTCTGGGCAGGTGGAACAAACCAAGGAGCATGCAGCTTCCAAGGAACGAGCAGCCCAGAACAAAATCCTGGACCTTGAGACACAGCTGAGCAGGACCAAAACAGAGCTGAGCCAGCTGCGGCGGGGCCGCGAGGATGTGAGTCGGGCTGGGGCGCAGGTGTGGGAGGGGGAGTGGGCTGAGACGTTGGCTTCCCGGGGCCTGCAGGGCAAGGTGATTTGCTGTTTTATGAAGATGATGCGATTTAATTTTTCTCATCCCCAAAGGGTATCCCAGGCAGATCCTTTTTATCATTGTTGGCTTTAAGAATCATTTACATACCATGAAATTCACTCATTTAAATTGTATAATTTGGTCACTTTAGTATATTTGGAGTTGTGCAGTCATCATCCTGATCTAAGCTTAGGATATTGTCAGAAGGAGACCCCGTACCCATAGGCAGTCACTCCCGTTCCCCTCCCTGTCAGCCCCTGGCAGTCACTAATAAAGTCTCTGTGTGGCTGTGGCCTTGTGATTCCGGACACATCCCACACGTGGCCCCCGTGCGTGTCTCCTCTTAGGCCGACCGCCGCTACCAGAGCCGGCTGCAGGACCTGAAAGACCGCCTGGAGCAGTCGGAGAGCACCAACCGCAGCATGCAGAACTACGTCCAGTTTCTCAAGTCGTCCTACGCCAACGTGTTCGGGGACAGCCCTTACGCTGCCTACCTGACCAGCTCTCCCATCCGCTCTAGGTCTCCTCCTGCCTGAGGCCGCCCGGCTGGGCCTGGGGCCAGACTGCGGCCATGGAAACTGATGAGTCCCCAAGCCATGCCCGGAAAGTCTGTTGGCTTTCCTGTCTCTTCCAGTGCTGAAGTGTGTTCAGGATCTTGTCCTTAGCCACTGGCTCCATGGAAGTCCCTAAAGCGGGAGGGATGAAGAAGCAGGAAGCACTTAGTCCCGACCCTCTCCGCAAGCGTTGCCTAATGGAAGTTTTCCACTTCCTTGCCAGGCCTGATTCCCAAATCCACTGCTCCGAGGGAACCAGACTTTAACTTACCTTAGCTTTGCTCATTCCTTTCCAGAGAGGACGTTTGGACTGGACTGGACTTTTCCCTCCAGTCCCATTATAGCCCTCTTTCTAGAAATGTCTTTCTTAAGTATTCTCGGACCTGAGCCAGCAGGAGCTGTCGAGGTCCTGGCCACACATCTTGGACTATGAGCACGTTCACTCCCTCTTCCTTATTCCGTGGGTGCTGTGTTTTCCCCGAGCCCAGGGCAGCCTCTCACACCTGAGTGTCCTTGAGGCCACGTGCTCGGGCTCCACGTGGGCACACTTCACGGTAGACACGCAAGGGCTCACGTGCAGCTGGCCTTGTAAGTGTAATCCCAAGATCACTGATTTTTGTTTCTTTGCCGGGTTTGTATCTGAGGAATGCATTTATCTTTGAAATATTTGTGTTGTTTTACAAAAAGCTTTTCTAGTCAATATTTAAGACTCCATGGCTGATTTTCTTTACCCACCCCCACCCCACTTTTAAAAGTGATTAAGTGAAATGCTGCAAGGGAGCCAGTAAACATTTTTAAAGTGCTCCGTGCACGGAACATAAGGTTCTTCTTTTCATTTTGGCCCAGTTTCTTCTTTGTGGGTGTTCCACGAAATGACGGGGGGGCATTGCTCATTGTTGGGGGGAAGATCGCTTTAGCTGGTAGGAAAAAGATACGTGTATACATTACTGTTTTTAAAATGTTAATTGGTTTGCAAATGATGTATTGGCTATTTTTGTTCTCTCACGCTTTCTTGTATTTAAAAGAAAGAACAAGAAACAAATTTGCTCCCATTGGTTGTCAGATGAACTTTAATTGAAGTATGTTCCTTTGTAGTAGTTCTTTTTTTTAAAATAAGGCTTTAAAAAAAAGATTTTATTTATTTATTTTTAGAGAGAGGGGAAGGGAGGGAGAAAGAGGAGGAGAGAAACATCAGTGTGTGGTTACCTCTCATGCGTCCCCCACTGGGGACCTGGCCCACAACCCAGGCATGTACCCTGACTGCGATTCGAACCAGCAACCTCTTGGTTTGCAGGCCCGTGCTCAATCCACTGAGCTACACCAACCAGGGCTCTTTTGTAGTAGTTTTTAACAAAGCCAGGCATTCCACTGCACTGCTATTGACATCATCTATGATGTCGTGAGAGCAACGGCCATTGACACTGCAGCCTGCAGACTGGGCTGTCCCTGGATTTCTTCAGTGGTTCTAGAGAGTTCTCTAGCTGAAGATCGGTGCTGCAGCTGTCGGGCAATGCTGACAATTTCATCAGAAGTGCTATTTCCACTGTGCTTAATGTTTTTTTTATTAGTTGATTTTTTTTTCTTTTGCTTCTTTCTGTCTTGTGGGGGTTCTCCGAGGGCTTTGAAGACCAGGGCAGAGGTGGGAGGCACTACCTCCGCCTGGGCCTGTCTGTTCTGAATGGTCAGTTTCACTGTCGTCCACAGACCCTTCGATCACTGGTTGCTTTGGCAATGTCAGAGGGGACGGATGTCGGGGGCCAGGACAAATGTAGCCCCAACACCCCCACTGGTGCATCTCTGGAATACAACTTGAGTCTCTTTGGGGTTGAACTTTGGCGGCATGGTGGCAGCGGCTGTTGTTGGATGAACCTGGATTCAGGATGACCGAAGAAAGTCGCACCTAAGCGTCCTCCAAGCAGAAAGCCAAAAGCAACAGATTCTTTAGAGAGAACAAATTTGGAACTATGCTGAAGCCTAACCTTTTCATTGTGGCTGGTACTAGCCTTCTGGGTGATGCAGTCTTGTCCTCTCAGCCACTCCAGCTGGAGTCCAGAACTCCAGGCGACTCCCCATGTCCTCAAGGGCAGCGGGCTCCACCCAGGCATCTGCATTCCATGACCAGATTACTCCCTGCCACCTAGTTTTGGTGACAATTATAGTTTCCAACTGCTCATTTTGCCAAAGAGGTTCTGAAAAAAACAACCGCCAGCCCTGGGTGCGGCTCAGTGGATTGAGTGCAGGCCTGTGAACCAAACAAAAGGTTGCTGGTTCGATTCTCAGGGCACATGCCTGGGTTGTGGGCCAGGTCCCTGATTGAGGGTGTGTGTGTGATTGCCTCTCACACACACGGGAAATTTTTCCTTAAAGAAAAAAAGAAGAGGGGAAGGGAGGGAGAAAGAGGGAGAGAAATATCAATGTATGGTTGCCTCTCTTGGGTCCCCTGCTGGGAACTGGCCCACAACCCAGACGCGTTCCCTGACTGGGAATGGAACCGCGATCCTTTGGTTCACAGGCCCGTGCTCAATCCACTGAGCTACACCAGCCAGGGCAAAATAAGTAAAATCTTTAAAAAACAAAACCAAAACAAGCACAAACTACCACTGCCACAAAGCCAAGCCTGTTTATATACCCTTAACATAAATGGACCTGAATTTAACAATATGTGAAAGATTTTCCCAAGAAAGGATGGGGCAAACTTATATCAACGTGCATACCTGTTTATGTAACTCATTCTTATTTTCACCAAACTAGTGAACACAGTGCAGGGCACTGGTACTTATGCCTGTGTGGTAAATCCCTCTCAGAGTCCATTGCTGGGACTCTGTCAACAACATTGTTTTATTCTGTCCAGAGAGTTTATTAAACCTGAAGTAATAAAAAGTGTTCATATTGCTTCAAACCCCAACTACAAGCCTACCACAAAGCAGGCAAAAGAAGAGTCAAGCCCCAGCCCAGTAGGTCAGTTAGACTGTCATCCCAATACACTCAAGTTGCAGGTTCGATCACAGGTCAGGGCACACAGAATCAAACAATGGTCGCATAAATACTGAGTAAATAGAAAAACAAATAGACGTTTTTCTCTCAACTTTTTTTAATTTGAAAAAAGTAAAGTCCTAACTAAAGCTGGCTCTGGTTGATGTTGAACCGCATTTGATTTTTTTGTGCTGTAATTCACACACCATAAAATTCACCTTTAAAAAAAAGATTTTATCCGTGGCTGGTGTAGCTCAGTGGATTGAGCATGGGCTTGCAAACCACAGGATTGAAATTTGATTCCCAGCCAGGGCACGTGCCTGGGCTGCAGGCCAGTTCCCAGCAGGGGACGCATGAGAGGCAACCATACATTGATATTTCTCTCCTTCCCTTTCCCTCTAAAGATAAATAAATAAAATCTTTAAAAAAAAAGATTTTATTCCTAGAGAGCAGGGAAGGAAGGGAGAGAGGGAAGGAAACATCTATGTGTGGTTGCCTCTTGTGCCCCCAGCCCAACAGGGTCCTGGCCAGCCCCTGACCAGGAATCGAACAGGCAACCCTTTGGTTCACAGGCCTGTGTTCCATCCACTGAGCTATACCAGCTGGGGCTCACCTTTATAAAATGTAGAAATTTAGTGTTTTTCACACGTATTCACAAAGTCGTGCTAACTTTACATTTTCATCACCCCCAAAAGAAAATTCTTCAGCACCCACTCTCCATTACCCTGGCCCCAGCCCCCCCAAGCAACCACTAATAAAGTCTAAATGTCTCTATGATTTTGTCATTCTGGACAGTGCATGTAAGTGGAATCATATGATATATAACCTTTTGTCACTGGCTTCTTTCACTTTGCATAATGTTTTCAATGTTCATCCCTGTTGTCACACGTATTTCTACTTCGTCTTTATGACACACATGGGCATTTTATTTACCCATCAGTTGATGTACACTTGGGTTTCTCCTTTTCAGCTATTCTGAGTAATGCTGCTAGAACATTCAACGAGTTTTTGTGGGGACGCATATTTAATCTCTTGGGTGTCGCGAATACCTAGGAGAATCGCTGGGTCAAATGGCAACAAATTTTTAAAGAACTGCCAGACTCACACAGCAGCTACCCCCTTTTGGAGTCCCACCAGCAATACGGGGCTGGTTCCAATTTCTTCACATGCACACCAGTGCTACATAATCCACTTCCTGCAACGAGGCGGAACCAGGCTTCAGAAGAACCCAGGGGTCTGAATCCCCACCCCCGCAGGACCCTCAGATCCAAACGCTGTGCGCGCGGGCGCGCTTTCGGTCGGCTTGGTACCGGAAGTGGGCGTGTACCGTTCCGCGGCTGCGCGCACCGGAAGCGGAAGCGAGCGATTGTTTATGGGAGGCTGAGTGGAGGACTTGCTTTTTCAGAAGCGGCATTTCCTCCGCAAAGCTGCATCAGCAGGAGTCATGCCGTCCGAGGGTCGCTGCTGGGAGACCTTGCAGGCGCTGCGCAGTTCCGACAAAGGTCGCCTCTGCTATCACCGCGACTGGCTACTGCAGGGCGAGGTGAGCAATGGGTCCTTAGGGCCGCCGCTCTGTCTTTTCTAACTGTCTGCATTTGTTTCTTGATTCTTGTGTGTGCATCATCCTGTCCCCGGGCTTCTGCATCTCCAGCCTCTTCTAGCCACTGGGGAAACTCCCCTTGTTTCGGCGCTCTTCTTTCTGAAGGTTTCGTTTCTAGCCCCAGAGAGTCGCCTCCGCCTTTGTTGCCAAAGCAGCCCGGGCTTCTCAGGGTCAGTTAATTTACTGCGCAGGAGAATGTACTAGGGTACCCAAATTTAGCAGTGAACGATTAGTATGACTGTTGCTGCAAGTGAAAACAACACATTTTTCGATGACATTGGTTGGACCTGTGAAGTTTAATGGGGGGCGTGTCACTGTATTTGCAAAGTCCTGTACTGGGGTGGCTGGGTTGGGGGGCAGGTAGAAACAGTTAAGGCATAGCTCCTGTTCCCGAGTTGCTGGTAATCTGGCCACTGTCCTGTCTCGTCAGACTTTTATATAAAACAGTTCTGAAGCATTTCCTTGCCTTTTATATCGGACGGCTTCAGAGAATACATACTTTACATTTCATAGGAGGAGTCGCCACGTGGGCCCGTCCGGTGTGTACTCAGGTCATCCATCCTTAACAGGAATACTGTAGAAACGATGCTGTGTTCTCAGTAAGGGGACACGGCGTTATGGACCACACGAAATAAATTCGCACGGACTACTGAGTTCTGTGGAACAAAAGGGAAGGCGCGGCTGGTCTCTCAAGGGGAGGGCAAGCCTCGGATTGCCTCGGGCACCCTCTCCTAGAGCGGCCAGACCCTTGCCTGGAGAGTCTTTTTTTTTGGGGGGGGATCCAATTTGTATAGGAATGCTTTGTATAGGTGTATACTAAAGTTCATTAATCATTATCAGGCAGTAGGAGTCAAACAATAGATAACATGCAAAAAAAACTTTGAGGACCTATTTTGATTTAGGGTCAGATAGCTAAATGGCCAAAAAATTTTGGGGAACAAACTCACTTCCTGCTTGGACCCTTATTTAAATGAGAGCATTCTAAACAAAGCAGGTTTCATAGGATTTTACACATGTTCTTTCTTAGGCCTGATCGCCCTAGGGAACCTCCCCTTTCCAGCACAGGGCCACACCCACCACAGGCACTGTTTCTCAGGTTTAAGTCAGGCAGGGGAAGTAAGGCAGCCAGGAGATTAAGAGACTTCTTGCAGGCAGGATGAGGACTCAGGCTATGTCAAAGCCGAGGGGCGAGGGTCTATCACCCCTTTTCTGTAGTTCCCAAGTCCTTCCCTAGGGAGGCTGTGATCGTCCCTGTCTTAGGTCCTCCCCCCTTGAGAAATCTTACCCATCATTGGCTAACTGATCATGCTTTGGGGGCCAGGCTGAGTGAAGTAAAAGACCCAGAGGCGGTGCCCCTCCCAGGGAGATAAGCTTTGTCTCTTTAGTGGCTTAGAGTCTGAAGGTGACTCACTCAGCCTTAGCCCTGAGGGGTTACAGATCAAGTAGGGTGGTTCCCAACAGTAAGGCGATTCAGGAAGCACCGTGGATGCTTCAGCCCAATTCAGTACCACTAGGGATGCTAACCTTGACCCTCTGGTCCCATTGGTGGTAACCAGTAAATATCTCCACTTAACACTCATTTTTTTTCCTTTTTAACTAATTAGTATTGTGCAGGGAGGTATTCCAAGATTACACCAGTGGATATCCTTTTTCTCAGCAGAACTTCCCCCATAGCATCCATTAATGATTTCTGCCTGAGTCAGTCCCCTTTGTGATGAGCCAAATGGTGTCTTCTTGGTGTCCACCATTCCTTCTACAGTTGTTAATTGGCATTCTTCCCTAAGGGAGGGCTTTCTTTCCTCCCCTGGTTAATTAATTATGTCTGTATGGACTCATGGGATCTTATTCACTGAGTTTCAGTTCACTACTTGGAACCCTATGATGTGTATTTTCATTTTATGGCAAGTGTATCTTCAGGATAAATTTCTAGAAGTGAGATTTCTGGGTCAGAAAGTAAACATAGCTGTAGTTTTCTTATGCATTGCCAATTTCCCCCAAAAGTGGGTGTATCAGTTTGCCTTCCCATCAGCAGTGCGTGATTGTGCCCATTTGCCCACAGGCTTGTCAACAGAGTTATTATAGTTTCAGTTTTTACTTATTAGGTAGGTAAGCATAAGGTCTCAGTGTAATTAATTAATTAATCCTCACCTGAGCACATGCTTACTGATTATTAGAGAGAGGGAGAGAAACATCCACGTGAGAGAGAAACATTGATCAGTTGCTTCTTGTACGTGGGCAGACCAGGAATGCACCTGCAACCCAGGCCTGTGCCCTGACCGGCAATTGAATCCACGATGTTTCTGTTTATGGGATGACATTCCAACCATTGGGGCCATGCTGGCCAGGGCAGTCTCAGCTTAGTGATAATGCATTTCTCTTTTGATTCACTGAGATTGAACATCTTTATATATTTATTTCTGAATTGCCTATTTAACATCTTTTCTCATTTTTTCTACTGAGGTTTTGTTCTCTTAAATTTTGCAACTTATGTATTAGGGATAATAACAGACATTTATATGTGATATATATCACATGTATTTTTTCTGTTTTTTTTTAATTCATTTTTTAGAGAGAGGGGAAGGGAGGGAGGAAGAGGGGGAGAGAAACACTGATGTGTGAGAGATACATCAGTCGCCCCACACTGAGGGCTTGGCCTTCGATGCAGTCATGTGCCCTTGACTGGGAATCGAAACCAGGGCTACCTTCTGGTTTGCAAGCCGGCACTCAGTCCACTGAACCACACTAGCCAGGGCTATATTTTTCTAGTTTGTCGGTTAAATTTTTTTCTCTGTTTATGGTGTTTTTGTATTTGTGTTTTTTTTAATTTGTTTTATTTGAAACTTTGCCCTTGGAATTTATTTTGATGCGTGAATGACTGAAAAGGTGTTGTTTCACATTATTATTATTTTTTAAGATTTTATTTATATATTTATATAGAGAGAGAGGAGAAGGGAAGGAGAAAGAGGGAGAGAAACATCAGTGTGTGGTTACCTCTCATGCATCCCCCACTGGGGACCTGGCCTGCAACCAGACATGTGCCCTGACTGGGAATTGAACCAGTGATCATTTGGTTTGTAGCCCATGCTCAATCCACTGAGTTATACTGGCCAGGCTCAACATTATTATTATTTTTTTTATATATATATTTTGTTCCCCTGGCTGGTGTAGATAAGTTCTTTCTTAGATAAGTTCTTGTAAGATTTTATATAATAAGGGCTTGGTGATGATGAACTCCTTTAACTTGACCTTGTCTCAGAAGCACTTTATCTGCCTTTTCATTCTAAATGAAAGGTCTGCTGGATAGAACAATTTTGGATGTAGGTCTTTGCCTTTCATGACTCGGAATATTTCTTTCCAGCCCCTTCTTGCCTGTAAGGTCTCTTTTGAGAAATCAGCTGACAGTCTGATGGACACTTCTTTGTAGGTAACTGTCTCCTTATCTCTTGCTGCTTTTAAGATTCTCTTCTGCCCTGGCTGGTGTAGCTCAGTGGATTGAGCTCGGGCCTGCGAACCAGACAATTGTGGTTCGATTCCCAGTCAGGGCACATGCCTGGGTTGCAGGCTGGTTCTCTGCAGGCTAGTTCCCAGCGGGGGATGCACAAAGGGCAACCATACATTGATGTTTCTCTCCCTTTCTCCTTCCCTTCCCCTCTAAAGATAAATAAATAAATAAATAAACAAATAAATAAATAAATAAAAAGATTCTCTTCTTATCTTTCATCTTGGGTAATGTAGTTATGATGTGCCTTGGTGTGTTCCTTCTTGGGTCCAACTTCTTTGGGATTCTCTGGGCTTCCTGGACTTCCTGGAAGTCTATTTCCTTTGCCAGAATGGGGAAGTTCTTTATTATTTGTTCAGATAACTTTTTGACTTGTTGCTCTTCCTCTTCCTCTTCTGGCACCCCTATAATTTGGTTGTTGGAACATTTAAAGATGTCCTGGAGGTTCCTAAGCCTCTCCTTATTTTTTTTTAAAGATTTTATTTATTTATTTTTAAAGCGGAAGGGAAGGAGAGGGGGAGAGAAACATCAATGTATGGTTGCCTCTCATGCATCCCCTGCTGGGAACTGGCCTGCAACCCAGGAGTGTGCCCTGACTGGGAATTGAACCATGATATTCTGGTTCGCAGGCCCACGCTCAATCCACTGAGCTACACCAGCCATGGCCCTCTCCTCATTTTTTTGAATTCTTGTTTCTTCATTCTTTTCTAATTGGATGTATGTTTCTTCCTTCTGGTCCACTCCCTTGATTTGAGTCCCAGTTTCCTTCCCATCAGTATTGGTTCCCTGTACATTTTCCTTTATTTCCTTTAGCGTAGTCTTTATTTTTTCATCTAATTTGTGACCAAATTCAACCAATTCTGTGAGTATCCTGATCACCAGTGCTTTGAACTATGCATGTGATAGGTTGGCTGTCTCTTTGTTGCTTAGTTGTATTTGTTCTGGAGCTTTGATCTGTTCTTCCATTCACTCCATTAATTAATCAATCAATCAATTAATTAATTTTGGTCTTGCCCCTGTTACATAGTAAGTGGCGGAGCCTGATGTATTCACCAGGGCGGGGCAACCCAGTCACTGGGTTGCGATGCTGTATGTGGGGGCGGGGTTAGAAAGGGAACAATTGCACTTGCTGTGCTCTGTGTCGGATGGATTTCACGCTTCCCACAAGCAAGCTGGGCCCTTCTGGTGCTGGTTCCTAGGCGGGTGGGCTTGTGTACGTTCTAGGGCCCTGTGGGTCTCTCCAACAAATTCTCCTGTGGGAGTCTCTCCCAGGGCCTCAACCCCCACAGGTGTTTTCAATCAGTGTTTTGAGGCTTTATTTCCCTGAGCGGGAGCCCTGGGTTTCGAGGTCTGTCTCGTTCCCCAGATTCGCCTGGTTTATCTGCGTGTGAATGCGGCACTGCCCAGTCCGTCAGCCTCCTTGTATGCTGCCCACCTCCACAGTCCACCGCCTGCCTGGGTCTGCCCCTGCCACCTTTAAAGTTACTTATTTATTTTTAGAGAGAGGGGAAGGGAAGGAGAAAGAGAGAGAAGGAAACATCAGTGTGTGGTTGCTTTCCACGTGCCCCCTAATGGGGGCCTGGCCTGCAACCCAGGCATGTTCCTGATTGGGAATCGAACCAGCAATCCCTTGGTTTGCAGGCCGGCACTTAATCCACTTACTTATATCAATTCAGGGCTCGTTGCATTTTTAGAGACAGAAGAGAGAAACATGAATGTGAGAGAGAAGCACTGATTACTTGCCTCCTGCACCAACCGGGGACTGAACCTACGACCTGACAGGGAATCAAACCCACAATCTTTTGGTTGCAGGATGATGCTCTAGCCTGCTGAGCCACACTGGCAGGGCTAGATCAGGAATTCTTTTTGCTTTTTTCTTTTTTTCTTTAATGTATTTTATTCCTTTTTTTAGAGAGAGAGGGGAAGGGAAGGAGAAAGAGTGGGAGAGAAATATCAATGTATGGTTGCCTCTCATGCGTCCCCTGCTGGGAACTAGCCTGCAACCCGGGCATGTGCCCTGACTGGGAATCGAACCAGTGACCCATTGCTTCACAGGCCCAAATCCACTGAGCTACTCCAGCCAGGGAGATCAGGATTTCTTAACCACAGCACTGTTTGCATTTGAGGCTGGGCTGGCCGATTCTTTGGGGTGGGGCTGTTGTCCTGTCTTACACGTTGTAGCGGGGTTGGCAGCACCCCTAGCCTCCACCTACTGGATGGCAGTAGCCCCTTCCCGGTTGTCTCTAGATGTCCCCTGGGGGGGGGGGTAGAATTGGCTGGGAACCACTGGTCTAGATAATATAATAGCTTGCAATTGTTGAGTGATTTTGTGCCCGGTACTGTTTTAAGTCTTTTATTACTTATTTAAACCGCACCTCCAAATCTTTTGAGGGAGATCCTTTATTCCATTTTTTTCCTTTTTTTTTCTTTTTTTTAGAGAGAGAGGAGGGAAGAGAGAAAAAAATGATTTTGCCCTGGCTGGTGTGGCTCAATGGATTGAGTGCTGGCCTGCAAAGCAGAGTCACCAGTTCAATTTCTGGTGTAGGGCACATGCCTGGGTTGTGGGCCAGGTCCCCAGTTAGGGGCGTGTGAGAGGCAACCACACATTGATATTTCTCTCCCACTCTTTCTCCTTCCCTTCCCCTCTCTCGAAAAATAAATAAATACAGTCTTTTTTTTTCTTTTAATGATTTGTTGGTCCACTGATTTATGCATTCATTGTTTGCTTCTTGTATGTGCCCTGACTGGACATTGAACCCACAACCTTAGCGTATCTGGATGATGCTCTAACCAGCTGAGCACTCAACCAGGGCCAGCTGCATTCCATTTCAGAGCGATGGAGCTGAGGCACAGAGAGGTTAGGTGACTTGCCAGGGGTCGTACAGGTCAGCGGAATGCAGAGACAGAATTCAAACCGAGAAAGGCTGATTGTGCACTTAGTGCTCTTAGTGCTCTTAGGCCCTCGTGGACTCTTTAATCCATACTCCCTGGAGATATTTTCCTGACACAGTCAAGCTCCCAGTCAGAGTTCACTCTGTACTTGAACTGCAGTGTAATGGTGTAAGCTCCCATGGTTCAAAGCCCTGTCCACTGAACACACAGAGGTAGTACAATAGGTCACAGGTGCGGCCGAGTGGATTGCCTTCACACCTACGGGAGAGTGCCAACGGCTTATTTTATATCTTCCTACTGTAAATTCCACTTTATTTTATTTGACGAGCCTATACATTAACAACTACTTTTCAGTGTCTGTTATTTTCATTTAAAATTTACAACATTTTAATTTAAGAGTTTATGTAAAAATACATAAAATTAGAACAGGAAGAAATATTTCACTTATTGCCCAAGTGTAATTTCTGGTATATTTCCTCTGTGTGTGTGTGTGTGTGTGTGTGAGCATTTTGAAAAATGTGATTGTAGATGTACTGTGTTTATGCTCTTATTTCGTCACTTAAAATTGAATCCTGTGTTATTGCATAGGACGTAGGAGCAGTATTTCCAATGACCGATGTGCTGCTGTGTGTGCTGCAGGACACTTCAGAATTCCTGTGTTCTTTTCTGTTTCAGCCTCTTAGATTTCTCTTGACCGTCTTTGTGCGTGGGCCCTTCTTCTATAGTTAGGGTTATTTAGTCTGATACTCTAAAAGGATAACAGTCGAGGTCATTATTAGGAAACTACTTTTGCCCTGGGTGGTGTGGCTCAGTGCATTGGAGTGCCGGCTTGCAAAGCTAGGGGATGCTGATTGATTCCCAGTGAGAGCACATGCCTGCATTGCAGGCCTGGTCCCCAGGAGGGGGCGCATGAGAGTCAATTACGCACATTGCTGTTTTCTTTCTTCCTCCCTTCCCCTCTCTCTAAAAATAAATAAATAAAATCTTTATATATATTTTTTATTGATTATGCCATTACAGTTGTCCTATTTTCCCCCTTCATTCCCCTCCACCCTGCACACCCCCTCCCCCACCATTCCCCCCTTTAGTTTATGTCCACATGTCTCAAGTTCTTTAGCTTCTACATTTCCCATACTATTCTTGCCCTCCCCCTGTCTATTTTCTACCTACCATCTATGCTACTTATTCTCTGTACCTTCTCCCCCCTTCTCCTCCTCCCACTCTCCTCCATGTGATCTCCATTTCTATGGCTCCGCTCCTGATCTAGCTGTCCTCTTAGTTTGCTTTTGTTTTAGGTGTGGTTCTTCATAACTGTGAGTTTGCTGTCCTTTCACTGTTCTTTTTTATCTTCTTTTCCTTAGGTAAGTCCCTTTAGTATTTCATATAACATGGGCTTAGTGATGATGAACTCCTTGAATTTGATCATATCTGAGAAGCACTTTATCTGCCCTTCCATTCTAAATGAAAGCTTTGCTGGGTAGAACAATCTTAGTTGTGGGTCTTTGGTTTTCATGCCTTGGAATACTTCTTTCCAGCCCCTTCTTGCCTGTAAGGTTTCTTTTGAGAAATCTGCTGACGGTCTGATGGGAACTCCTTTGTAGGTGACTGTCCCCTTAGCTCTTGCTGCTTCTAGGATTCTGTCCTTCATTTTAATCTTGGCTAATGTAATGATGATGTGCCTTGGTGTGTTCCTTCATTTGAGTCCCAATTTCCTTTTCATCGCTATTGGTTTCCTGTGCAATTCCATTCATTTCTATTAGTTTCGCCTTCATATGTTCCTCTAATTTGTGACTAAAATCAACCAGTTCTGTGAGGATCCTGATCACCAGTGTTTTGAACTGTGCCTCTGAAAGTTTGGCTATTTCTTGGTCTCTTAGAGTTATCGGCTCTGGAGATTTGGAGTTCTTTTTGAGCCGTAATGTTTTGATCTGTTCGCGCCTGTTACATATGAGGGATGGAGCCCTAGGTGTTCACCAGAGCGCGGCAACTCAGTGGCTGGGTTGTGACGCTGTATGTGGGGACGAGGTCAAAGAGGGGCAATGATATTCTCCTATGCTGCTTCCCACCGCCTGTGCCCGTGTGGTTCGTCTCACTGCTCGCACCTTCGCCCGGTTTATCTGCGTGCAAATGTGTGACTGCGGTCAGCCTGCCACCTTGCGCCCTCACTGGGTCCACCCATTGCAAGCCCACGGCTGGGATCTGCCAACCACTGCTGGAACACCTGGGTCGGTCTGGCTGAGTTTTCTGCATAACCCCACTCTGCCAGCTGCTGGCTCTGCCCCTCTTACCGGTCTGGCTGAACGGTCTGTTGTTGGACTTCTGTATAGTTTACTTTTCTGTGTTTTGGTTGCGTTTTTGTTACTAAAACTTTATTGTCTTTAAACTTGCTTGTGCAAGGAGGCACAGTGTTTCCACCTACACCTCCATCTTGGCCGGAATTCCTCTCATCAGATAAATAAAATCTTAAAAAAAAAAAAAGAAAAAGAAACTACTTTCTCTGCATTGCTGATTGTTGAATAGCGACTGTGGGTCTTTGGTATATACATTACAAATATCTGTGTGTGTGCCTTCTTAGATTTTCAGGAAGGCGTGTGGTAGGTTATCTGATTGCTTAGATCGGTGGACGTGCAGGTCGAGTTTCACCTCCTTTTCTCTCTAGGATGTTTTAGAAGATTGCACATCGATTCCCAAGCTGTCTTCTTACGCTGGATGGGTGGTAGATCACGTCCTGCCCCACACCCAGGAGAGCCTGGCTCCCTCCGAGACTGCGCCATGCCCCGCAGGCCTGGGCCACCCGGCCTTTGCCCCCGGATCTCCCGTTGGGAGCCCTGTCTGCTCACCAGCCTCCCCGGGAGCGCCAGCAACACCAAATGGAACCAAGGTGAGGCTTTTGTCTAGTTAATTACTTATTATTTTTATTCTCAAAAAGATTTTATTCATTTATTTTTGGAGCGAGAAAGAGAAACATTGATGCGGGAGAGAAATGTTGATCAGGTGCCTCTTGCGTGGCACCCACCCGGAAATTGAACCAGTGACCTTTTGGTTTGTGGGACTAAGGCCCTGCCCACTGGGCCACGCCAGGCAGGGGCCAGGGTGAGGTTTTTGATCAGCTGAGGACAAAAGATAAGGCTGGTTACACAGTTGAATTGTGTAACATGGTCATGTGGCAGTGACCTTGCGCTGGAGAAGATGATTGCTTCTCCTGGCTGTAGTGACGGTGTGGACCACATCACCCAGTGCTCTCTTTACGCAGACCAAGGGGAATTTCCCGCTCAGGTTAGCACCGAGAGCAGTAATTGATGTCACAAGCAGTGGGATTGTTTTTCAAATGAACCTTGCACACGTGTAACCGGTAATGTCTCCCTCTTTGTGCAGGCTATGGGAGGCACAGAGTAAAATTCATCCCCGCTCTTAAAATTTACATACCTTCCTACTGGTGCTATATGAGGTTTTATCCTGTTTTTGCTGTGTTTTTTCCCTGCCTTGGTTTGTTTCTCTCACTTAAAACCTGAGTCGTTATGGATGGCTAGTATTCCCAGAGAAAGCCTTCCTAGACAGCTGCACCAGAGAGACTCGGAGGTGGGCTCCGGCCTCGCCTGGCTCATGAGCCTCGTTGCTCAAGTAGCTACTAGCCACAGGAGGCTAGAGGACTGTGCGGGCTGTCGCACGCTTACCCCGGAGGCCAGGAAGGTGAATGTATTGGGGATATGGACTGGGGCTGCTCCACGCGGACCATCCTAGCCGGAGTGGACACGTATCGGAAGAAAGAGGGAAAACTTGCTGGGCAGGTCAGAGCAAACAAGCAGAAAAGATTGATGTTTGCTGCATTTTGGGCATCTCTTACTCTTCAGGAAAGCAATCAGAACAAGGTCAACATTGTGAAGAACGCCGTAGTTCTCACCCAATTTGTTTTTGTTGTTGTTTATAAGTAGGGGGTGTGTTTTTTGTGTAGAAGGAGTAACAAGAACTATACTGTCTTAAAAGTTTAATATTACAAAAAAAAGATTAAAAGCTCAGTTTTTCCACCTTCTGACCGTGTAGGGCAGAGATGAGCCCCAGCACACGGAAGAGCCTGCGGCGCTGCAGTCCTCCAGGGGCACCCGGGTGGAAGGCTGCATCCGGATGTATGAGCTGGTGCACAGAATGAAGGGGATGGTAAGTGGCCCGCGAAGCAGGGCAGACCCGGCCACGGGGCTGCATCGAGGCGTAGCTCCTTAGGCTTATGAGTGTCCACTGCACGCCCATCATCGAGCCCAGCTTGCTGCCAGCGGCTCCTGATTGATTTGTGGAGGTAGTATAACGTAGCAGTCACGAGTGAGCGCTCCCACGTCAGATCTGGTTTCCAGTCCTTGCGCTTCTGTTTCATGTGGGACTTTGGGAAACTTACGTGTGCTTTCCTGGCTTCCATTTACTTCTCCAGAATTGGAAAGTGATCTGAGATTGTCAGGTAAGAGTGTACCGAGAAGGTGGGTCTTAACAGCCTCTTGAGAAAAGAAGACTACTGTTTCAATTAATGTATTTGGCTTTTTAAATTTTTTTAGGGAAACTGTGAATGATGTTGTAAAACTTTTTAAGAAGTACGTGAGTTTTTAAAGTGAAACTCTTCTGGCACCTACCGTCATTCAGTTACTCACTGAGTCAGCAAACACTTACTGAGCACTTATGTGCCAAATGCTGTCCTAGGTCTGGGTGGGCAGTGGACAGAGCAGACATGAAATCTCGTCTCCTTAGAGCCTCTGTGCTGGTGGGAGAGGCGGAAGTAAACAGGACAGAGAAGTTAAAGGTGGTTGGAAGACGATTATAATGTGAGTGAGAGATCGCAAAGCTCAGTAAAGCGTTCACTTTGGCCCTGAAAGAAAAGATGGTGGTGGCTGCTTAGCCTAGGCGGTGGCAGCGGAAGAGAAAGAATGAATGAGAGCATCGTGTGTCACGAGCATCCCTCGGGAGCTGAGGGAGATGAACTGTTGTTGAGTCTTTTTTTCCCCTTCCCAACCCTTATTTAAACAGAGTCACAGAGGAGAGGGTGTCTATGCTTGCATTAAATTTGCTTCCTTGCACTGGAAGCTTTAAAGTAACTTTTAAAATAGAATAAAATAATGTCTTGACTGTGTTTTGACACATTCCCATGCCAATAAATAGAACATCTCATCTCCTCTTCCGTAAATGTTGCAGAGTACTCTTCGGTATGTTGACCTTGAGACAGAGTAAGTAATGTGGTTACAGATAATGGATGGTCTGACTGTATAGATAATACAGTTCGTCTTTCCCCCGTTAATTTAAACTGGTTTCAATGTATTGCCGTAGTCTGCAGGGCTGTAGTGAGTGTCCTTGTGAACACATCTTTGCACGCATTTGCAAGCGTTTCCTTGGGACAAATTCCTAAAATGGGAATAGTGTCCAAAGATACACACACACACATATGTATGTATGTGTGTTTTGTTATATTACTTATATATATTACATAAATTATGTAAATTGCTTAACTGTCAAATTATAATGGTTAAAATGTCAAATTGCCCTTAACAATCACATGAGAATACCCTCAAGATTAAAAAATGAAGTACCTGATCCCCTCAGGTGTAGAGGACGGGGCTCTCCTGGGTGGAGCTGGGGGAGTCTAGGCAGAGATGATGACATGAGGGGAGGAGTGAGATAGACATGCGCCCAGTGAGGGTGTGGGCTGCAGTAGGGTTTTGGAAGGTGACCTGAAATCCTCAGAAGCGTGACACAGGGTGGAGCGTGGCAGGAAGCGCAGGGCCGGTGGCGCTCTCCGGGCAGACACCGGTCCCGTCCCCGGTTACACTGCAGTGGCATAAACCCCACAGGGCACATTGGAGGAGCTCTCCAAAACCGCTGAGTTTAAAGATCACCCCAGAGGGGGCTCTGGCGGGATAGCTCAGCTGACGAGAGCATCGTCCCGCTGCACCGAGGTGCGGGTTCCATCCCTAGTTGAGGCACATCTGAGCAGTGCGGGTGTCTGATGGAGTTAAGGCCTGGCAGGAGGTGAACCCCACGGTGTCAGGGAGCGGGTAGTGTGGCGGTCCAGGCGGCCGTGTTGATATGTTTCAGGAGGGCCTGAGGCAGTGGCAGGAAGCGCAGGAGAGGAGGGTGCGCGCTCTCTCTGAGATGGCGTCTGAACAACTGAAGCGCTTTGATGAACGGAAGGAGCTGAAGCATCATAAGGAGTTCCAGGACTTGCGGGAAATGATGGAGAAGAGGTGAGCCCCCCGGAATTATGACTGGAGATGTCAGGTTGGTCGGCTGCCACTCTTTTTCATCAGGAAACCCAAAGGGAAAGAGTTGAACAGCTCACGAGTCCTTAAGTATCAGAATAAAGTAGAGAAGCTTATGACCCAGAAAAGCAACCGACCTTGGGAAGGCAAGCAGTGTCTCCCAAAGGGAGGGAGGGAGGCGTCTAGGGACGAGAAAACCATTGCAGCCAACACCCCTGACCAACTCTCCCTGCCATTTCTCATTTAGCTCCAGAGAGGCCCTGGGCCAGCAAGAGAAGCTAAAAGCTGAGCATCGTCACCGAGCAAAGGTCAGAGCCTGGGGGACCCGTGGGAGTGCGCCCTGTGTCTGGCAGTGACCCGCCCCAAGAGTCAGGCTCTGATAGACAGTCACGAAGAACCCTGCCCCTTTGTGCCCCTGTGTGACTGACCCTGGGCAGTCCTTCTCCTGTTCCGGGCCCACGCAGGACTCGAGGATGTAGAGAGAGAGAGCCCGGGAGCCCCTCAGAGAAAGGTCACCTGGCGGTCCTCTCCGTAGATTCTCAACCTGAAGTTGCGGGAGGCGGAGCAGCAGCGCCAGAAGCAGATGGAGCAGGAGCGGCTCCGGAGGGAGGAAGGCCAGGGCCGCCTGCGGAGCCTGTACGCCCTGCAGGAGGAGCTGCTGCACCTCAACCAGCAGCTGGACTCCAGGGACCCACGTGGGGACCAGCGCGGGGACCCGCCGAAGGTGGACCTGTCGGCCTTCCGGACGCGAGGCAACCAGCTCTGCAGCCTCATCTCCGGCATCATTCGGGCCACTTCTGAGGTGAGGGGGCGGCAGGGGGACTCTGGCTTCTGGCTTCAGGTGCACGTGTGTGGGTGTGCTCCCCACCCCAAATTGGACTCTGGAGATAGAGCATCTCATCGTAGGTTAAAAAAGCGTGCGTGTCTTCTGCTTGCAAAATACGTCATTCGCTGATGTACACTGAACGCCTGCTTTACTCACAGCAAAGATTAAAGCCTCACAGAGGGGTCGGTGAGTAGATATGATGGGAACTGCTGTTACCTTTACAAGAACAGGAAAGCCGTGGGTATCACGTGTTGATGAATGGTATGACGTTAACGCAGCAGTTGCAATTCTAAAAATGTTCTGATGGGTAAGGTGTGACTCAGCCCCACAGGCTGCCCAGGGCGTAACCCCAAAGCTCTGCCCCTGTCACCCCCCAGGACGGCTTTCCCACGGCGGAGGACCAAGCAGTGGCCGAGAGAGCGCTGCGGGAGATGCGGGAGCTCTGTGAGAGCGCCAGGGCCCATGAGGACCAGAGGAGGCAGGAGGAAAAGGAGGCCCAGCTGAAGCAGCAAGCGTCACAGATGCAGCAGGGGCCGGAGGTCCGCAGGGAGCCCCCCGCTCCCAGCCAGGGCCCGGGCGGGAAGCAGAGTGAAGGTGAGTTTGGGTGTGGATAAGATCCTGTAACTTGTCATAAGTTTCAGAATGCCGGAAGGAGCAAGAATGTGTTTTGAATATTAAGCTACAGGAAAAATTGCCAGAACTTTTACATAAAATGTAGACTTCAGTGCTTTACTGAATTACATTTGGTTTTGGTTCACATGGAGCTGCCTTCACATTCCAACACCTTCCATTGAGGACTTGAAGTTCTGTATAATTTAGTAGATGTATTATCCAAGTATTGCTGCTACTGAGTATTTTAAGTAAATATGTACAAAATACATGTTTGTTAAAACACAAGAGAATCAGCATAGAGTAATGGTGGAGAAGGCTGGCGTTGGAGCCAGATCCGTGGGAATCCAGCTTGCCTGCTTCCTGGCAGTGTGCCCTTGGCAAAGTGGTTAGCCTTTCCGTGCCTGTTCCTCCTTCTATACACTGAAGATAACAGTAGTACCTCCTTCGTGGGGCTACCGTGACAGTAAAAGCAGTTAACTTGTGCATAAGGTGGTGGGAACAGCGCCGGGTTCACCTGAGGCACTCAGCAACTCCGGGCTGTGCTGAGAGCCCCTGTCTCTCCTCAGACCTCCAGGTGAAGGTCCAGGACAGCACGATGCAGTGGTACCAGCAGCTGCAGGAGGCCTCCGGTCAGTGTGTGCGGGCCTTCGAGGGACTGGCCAGCAGCAAAGACAGCCAGGTAGGAAGGGGAGCAAGCCGGGAGTTCTCGGGGCGTCAGCAGCCCCGTGTCCCACAGAAAGGTAGCCAGGGTGTCCCTTTCCCTGATCCCAGTGGCATCTGCTCGGCACTTGTGAAAGCTTCCCACCTTCTCGCTGTTCTCTGCAGGTCAAAAAGATCAAGATGGACCTCCAGAAGGCGGCCACCATCCCAGTGAGCCAGATCTCCACGCTTGCAGGTGGGTCAGGGGGTGGTGAGCCTGCACAGCTCCTCACCTGTGAGGTCCCTAGAAACAGTGCACTGACCAAAGGTGGACAGTTGGGTCGGGTGTATGTCGGTTATATGCCTCGGTTACATGCGAGTTACATGTTTCCTCGCCTTTGCTTCCTCTTCAGCACACGGAAGGTAATCATGTATTTGCTGACTCGTTTTTAAAAAACGGGTTGTTTATTAACAGTAACGTGTGCAGTGTGGCTGCTACCTAAAATTGAAAGCGACTGTGGAAGACGTCCCAAAGGGAACCTAAGGCATGTCTCGTAGTCTCCGCTTTGGGCCTACATTGGCTTTTCCAAACTCAGAGCCTGCCCTGTTCATGCTTGGCAATGCCTTCTTTTTCTCTCCAGGGACTAACATTTAGAGAGCAGGAACCAGACGGGGCAAGGCCCTTCTTGCTCGTTCTCCTTAGAAACAGGTTCGTTCTGTACAGAGCTCTGAGTGAGGGAACCTTCACACGACAGGTTGCAGCCGAGCAGCTGGGGAGCACGCCCCACTGGGAATCCCAGTTCCCCCGATCGGTGGGCCACCCCCAGAGCACAGGACAGTTGCACTTTCTGCCCCTGCCGGGCTATATGTCAGGACTCACATACCACTTGGCTGCCTGAAATTCTTTCTGGAGCAGGGCAAGGTATAAATAAATAAACACGTATCACTTTCTGGAATTTAAAGTGCCTTTCCTTTGATAGCTGTGGCATCAAAGGGGCAGAGGGGACCAGACAGCCATCCCACACCTCACGCTCCCCTCAAGCTTCTCCTCAGTCTTTTCCCCTAAGTCGACCGCAGACCGCGGTGCTGGCTCCTTCACCAGGAGATGGAGATGTCGGCCTGAGAGCCGCGGTGCCCGGCGCCCGCTGTGCACGGCTGCATTCACCTCTCAGTGTCCCGATGGAGGAGGTGTCCTCTCCACCCTGCCTGCCCTCTGCCTCTGCCTTTGTCCCCATCCTCTCCGGTCTCTTTCAAGACCTGGCCTCCTTGTTATGGCCTTTCTCTTCTGTTTTCTGCAAAATTAGTCCCTTGCACAGGCTCCTTTCCCCTTAAACACGCATGAGTCTCTCATCCTAAAACACGTTTCTTTTGAGTCCACACTTCCTGAGGATTTTCTGGTTTTCCTTTTGCTTCCATTTGGTGCTGACGATTTGGCCTTCTTTCTTTTTTCCTTTCTTTAAAATAGGTTTTATTTATTTATCTGTAAAGGGGAAGGGAAGGAAAGAGGGAGAGAAACATCAATGTGTGGTTGCCTTTCATGTGCCCCATACTGGGAACTGGCCTGCAACCCAGGCATGTGCCCTGACTGGGAATTGAACCAGTGACCCATTGCTTCACAGACCCATGCTCAATTCACTGAGCTACACCAGCCAGGGCTGATTTTGCCTTCTCTGTGAAACTTTACTCCTTCGGCTTCTGTGGATTGTTCATTTCCAGGTTCTCCTCCTCGCTCTCTTTCTCTTTTGGGGAGTCCTTGGTCTGCTCCCCTGACCTCAGCTGTAGGTGTTTTCTAGGGATCCCCTCCCACCTGGAAGTTCTTAATCTATTCACTCCCATGGCTTCCAACATTCCCCTGTGCCAGTGACTGGCTCACAGATCTGCCTCCGATTAGTCCAGTTCCTCTGAGCTTCGCAGTCTCTGGGACCACCTCCCTGAGGGACGTCTTTGCCGGGATGTCCCCAGACACCCAGGTGTGGTGCGTTCCCGTCTGAACTGGTCATCCTCTCCAGGCCTGCTCTCTCTCGTTTGCACTCCGTGATCAGTAGCGGCCTTATCTGCTCAGTCGCCTTAATTGGAAACCAGGAGTCAGCCCCCCGACCGCCTCCTCTGTTTCATTCTCCACTTCCAATTAGGGTCACGTTACTTACACGGTAACCAGGACCTAGGCAGGGCATTTCTAAGCTGGGGAGATGTTGCACTAATTTAAACTTTGATTGCGAGTCATAGACACTAATACAGATCTGCTTATGCAAATAAGTAATAAAGGCATTTGCCCCAAAGAGGTGTTTTCACAGAACCCAAGGGCAGGAATGGAGTAAGGGCTCAGGGGGGAGAAACTTCAGGACCTTCTCTGTCTCACCTTGTCTTCCTCTGTGCGTCTCCACTCTTAGTTTACAGGCTGCTGTGCTTTGGTCCACGAGGCAGGTGCAGGGCCCACTGCTCACGAGTGCGCGTGTTGCAGGGCCGGCCACTCCACGGACCGCACTCTGTCAGTTGGCTGATTGGCTCAGCTCGACTACTCTCTCTGTAGCCGGTGCGGGGTTGGCACACACAGGATCTTTCACACAAACACAGCCACTAGGGGCCCCCTTCTGTGTGTCCGAGGGCAGAAGAAGGCAGGTCTCCGAGAAAGGGGGGAGTCACTGTGGCCGGGGAGAGCTTCCGGAGAACACAAATGACTCCTCTAGGCACGCCAGCCCGGTCCATGGCATCCGTGACAAGTCACTCATTTCCACTTTTCTTCCCTGTTTGGTGCGTGTTTTCAGAATTGGCTCCTTCCCAAATAAGGAATTCCTTGGCAATAGTACGTGGTGTGTTCTGTGTGCTTTGCACAGTCTCCACAGTGCGTATTTGATTGTCACACATCTTTGTGTGTCAGTATTTTGTCCTTAGGCTCTGCACCAGGCACGGCCACTGCGCTGCCGACTGAATCCAGAGCCCTTCCGTGTTGGTGCAGTGGCAGAAAACAGGTTGGTCCGCGGTTGCGTCTCGTAACTTGCTCTAACTCTCTTGCACCCAGGCTCAAAGCTGAAGGAGATCTTCGACAAGATCCACTGCCTGCTGTCCGGAAAACCCGTCCAATGCGGTGGGCGCCCTGTGTCGGTCGCCATGGACCCTCAGGGCCTGGACTTTGTCCAGTACAAACTGGCAGAGAAGTTTGTGGTGAGCAGCCTCGTTGCCAGAGGGACGGGCGGGAGAGGCAGGTGCACGGTACTTAAACCGTTCTCTGGGGTTGACAGTGTCCCCGTCTCCCTGTCCACAGAAACAAGGGGAGGAGGAAGTGGCCTCCCATCACGAAGCTGCGTTCCCCATCGCGGTTGTGGCATCTGGCATCTGGGAGCTCCACCCGAAAGTGGGGGACCTCATTCTTGCTCACCTGCACAAGAATTGCCCGTACTCTGTTCCTTTCTACCCCACTTTCAAGGAGGGAATGGCCTTGGAAGATTATCAGAGGTGAGGTGGTGGTTCTTTTCGCTAGCCTCAGGGCGAATCGTGGGGTAGAAGTAGAACTTACACAGTTTCCATGGACCTTGAATGTTTTATCAGAAAATACAACATCTTTCATGCAAACTGGGCAGCTTTTGGAACTTGGGGATTTAGGTGCCAGTAATCAACATAGCTTTTAGTGGAAAGAGTAGTGCATCTGGAATCCAGGAGTCTTAGAATTTTATCCCCGCTTTGTCTTTTTTTTTTTTTTTTCAAAATTTCATTTTATTTATTTTTAGACAGAGGGGAAGGGAGGGAAAAAGAGAGGGAGAGAAACACTGACGGGCAAGAGAAACTCAGACCTTTCGCCTGTGGAGCGACACCCAGCCCGCCGAGCCACACCAGCCGGGGCTGCTCTGTCACTGAGTAGCTTTGCAGATGGGTGAATCATTTTACCTCTCTGAGCATCGTTTTCCTTGTTTGTAAATGATGCCTATGGCTTGTGAGTTTACCTCGCAGGGCGGTTTGATGCACACAGTTGACAACTGATGTGAGTGGTTCGTAACAAAGTATTCTACAAACGTGATGACATGCAATAATGTACTAATAATAACATATTGTTGCTTTCAGCCATCAGAACTAATCTGTGCTTTGTCACCCTTATTTTGGCCTTGTCACACTTGATTTCTTTGTCTTGTATAGGATGCTCGGCTACCAAGTGAAGGGTTCCAACGTGGAGCAGCAGGACAACTTCCTAAAGCGCATGTCCGGGATGATCCGTTTCTATGCCGCCGTCATCCAGCTCCAGTGGCCGTACAGGGCCCGACAGCAGGTAGTGGGAAAGGCTTACTGCCCGTAATGAGAGGGCGGGCCTCAGTTGGGGTTCTGCCTGAGGACACACTGGCCTCCTTTCAGAGGGGCCTTCGGTCATGCGCTGCGCTGTGGGGGCTGTTTAGAGAAGCCGATGCTGGTCACCAGGGGGCTTTAGGATTCATCGGAGCTATTTGTTCAATAACCGACTCATGGAGGCGTTAGTTCAGTTCAGTTTATAGGAGAGTCTTCCAGAGAGGAGTCTGTGGTAAATCAGTTTGTTAGGGTTTGAAGATTTTATTAGCAGTGGAGTGAGCAAGAAATTGTCATGCGAGACACGTGGTGCCTTCGGAGCCATCTGGGTCACGTACGTCACCCACACGTGGGCATGTGGCGGCTCAGCAAGCTGAGCTGACGCGCATCGACGGAGACAGAGCCACAGCTGGGTCCCAGGGTTTCACCTGGCAGCCCAGCTCTTCGCGAGAGTCACAGATTAGCGAGGTGGAGAAATTAATGGACTTTGAGGCCTGAAGAGAAAGGAGTCTAGGTTGATTGAATCCAAGAAGTTTTTATTGTGCGCCTGCTGTGTCCCAGGCTCTGTGCTGAGATTCCAAGGTGGTAAATGGCTATTAGGGTAACTTGGCCTGTGGAGTCCTGAAACTGAAGCCGACAGCTGTGTATTGGAGGCGTCCGGTAGGGAATGTCTGGGTTCCAGGGTCTGAGAACATTGAAAACAGAGTTTATCGGCCATGTGTTGTTTCTGCCCTGCAGCACACGCTCAGGTTGGGTGACATGGGGTTCGCGGCCACTCGGTCACGGCTGTCCGCTCACACTGGGAGTGCAGCTCCCTGAATGAGATGAGGTCCGATCATGACCAGGCTTCTCTCCTCCCAGGTTCACCCTCACGGCCTAAACCACGGCTGGCGCTGGCTGGCACAGATATTGAACATGGAGCCCCTGGCAGACGTGACGGCCACCCTCCTCTTTGACTTCTTGGAGGTATGTGACACAGTGACCGCATGAGAGAAAGCCAGTGGCGGAAATGACCTTGGTCGCCATGCGGCTGCTCCGTAGTCACACGAGTGGGGGGCACTGTAGGGACAGAGGGTGATGCAGCAGATCGGCGTTGCTTGCTCTTTACAAAATAATTTAAAAGCAAAAAGTAAAAAAACCCACAGGTAAGAAGGAAACACAAAACACAAAGAGAGAGAGAGTAGTGGTGAACAGTAAGCATTAGGGTCCAGTGTCAGATTTTTATCTTGAGCCCTAAGACAAACTTGGCTTTTGATTTTTCCCTCCACTGTATTCTCCTCTCTGTGTGGGTGTCTTCATTGTAAAGAACAGAAAGTTGACGTCCTAGCACAAGTAAGAAGGGGAAGCTGGTTCAGGGATGGAGGGTGGCTCCTGGGACCAAGGGTAGGGCGGGCTGTTGAATCTACTGAGGGCCTGGAACCAGGAACTGGGTTGTCACCAGGTACCATGAGTCTCCCTGGGGCCACATGGCCTTTCATGTTCCTGCCAGTGGCCTCATCCTCGTGCCACAGGCCAGCTTGCTCTAGTCCTCTGTGCACAGTGGAGATGTCCATCCGGGCTGTGTCCCTCAGTCTCGGGGTGGTCACCCAGCTGTTGGGGCTGGTGTCCCACCGTGTGATTCCTAATTCCCAGAGCAGAAAAATCTGATGGACCAGCTTAGGTCAGGTGTCTCCCTCATCCAGAAGCCTCGGTACAGTCCCATCTGCCTGTGTAGAGGGCCAGCACTATACTTAGGGTGAGGGTTCCTGTGGGAAGTCACCGTACATGAGCGGTGATCCTGAATCATAGAGAACAAAGCGGGATTCTGTGTTCTCTGCCTACGAAGGTTCAGGGCAGCCCAGAGCTTTGGGAAGGCTTACTTTCAGTGAAATCAGTGAAGAACAGTTCATTGACTCTGGTTCATGAGTTGGCAGGCTGGTTCAGTGGAGGTATTGCTGTGTGCAGTTAAATGCTTTCAGAGAAACTTGGAGTTTTCCATTTATTTTTATTTTTTTTTTTAAATTTTTTTTTATTATTTATTTATTTTTAGAGGGAAAGGGGAGGAAGGAGAGAGGGAGAGAAACATCAATGTATGGTTGCCTTTTGTGCGTCCCCTGCTGGGAACTAGCCTGCAGGGAACCGGCCTGCAACCCAGGCATGTGCCCTGACTGGGAATCGAACCGCAATGGTGTGGTTCGCAGGCCCGCGCTCAATCCACTGAGCTACACCAGCCAGGGCCATTTATTTCTTCAGTAGTTGCTTGCCAAGTGGCATTTCATGGCTGAATTTCTTGATAGGAGTGAAAGGCAAGGGGCCGGTGGTTCCTGGATCTCATACATGTGTGTGTTTTCATCCTCTGCTTTGATGGCCTCTGTCCCTCCCTCCAGGTCTGCGGGAATGCCCTCATGAGGCAGTATCAGGCCCAGTTCTGGAAGATGATGCTTCTCATCAAGGAGGACTACTTCCCCAGGTATGAGGCTTGCCAGGCAGACAGCAGGGATTTGGCAGGTAAAACCCATGAGATCGGATCCCCTTCGGTGCTGTTCAAACCACCGGCCTTAAGCGTGACCTCTTACACATGCATCCTTCTCCTCTGACATTTGAGTAAACTTTTTTTTTAAGATTTTATTTATTTATTTTAGGGAGATGGGGAAGGGAGGGAGAAAGTGAGGGAGTGAAACATCAATGTGTGGTTGCCTCTAGCACATTTCCTACTGGGTACCTGGCCTGCAACCCAGGCATGTGCCCTGACTGGGAATCAAATCGGCAATGCTTTGGTTCACATGTCTACGCTCAATCCACTGAGCTACACCAGCCAGGGCTGAGTAAACATTTTTGAACTCCAGGAAAGAGTCTCTCTTAAATACTTTTGGCTAAATGGAAAAAAAATGAATTAGAAAGATCTCAGATTCCAGTACCTGACATTTTTTAAACTCTTTTTTCCAAACACCCCCAGATAACCTGGGATGCTGATTACATGCAGTTTTGAATTAAACCAAGGAGTCAAACCCTCTCAGTAAGTCAGTTGAAGAAACGGACTTATCTGTCAGTTGGCTCCAGTCCCGTGTGGCATTCACCTTGACCCCCTGTGGCATTCACCTTAAAGCACCCTTCTCACCTCTCTCCACTTACTGGCATTTCTTGTGGGGGCGGACAGGCTGCGACACCCAATCACAAAGACCTGGGAGAGGGAGAGCGCCCTCTACCCTGCACCCCTTGTGGGAAAAGAGGGTTGGGGCCGTTTGGAAGAGCATCAGCACCCTTAGTTAGTCCAGAAGGAGTCTCTGTGGGTCATCTGATCTGCTCCTTCCCTCTTCAAAAGGTAGGTGTCCCTCACCACGTGTCTCCTCCCTGTCCCCACAGGATTGAAGCCATCACAAGCTCGGGACAGATGGGTTCCTTCATACGCCTCAAGCAGTTCTTAGAGGTGAGAGACCCTTAAACCGACACCTCCCACATTGCTCTTGGCCTCAAACGTGCTCTGCCTGACCAGCCTGGGACGTCCGGGCTCTCTGATCATAGTCTCTTCCTCTCGGTTTTGCTGACCCCTGCTTTTTGCCTACTATTTCCCCTTCTCACGTGTCGCTGTCCACACTGCCCGTGGGGAAGCTCCCCACGAAATGTCTGAGCCCTGCCCGGTGAGTCCGGTCTCACCCGTACATGTTTGGTGCGTAGGCCGTTTGTCCTCGGCCGCAGGCCCGAGAGCTGCTGAGTGTGCTCACGTTCCTCTGCGGGGCTGCGCTCTCATCCCGGCTCCTAGCGTTTCCAGGTGCCGACAGTTCCGTTTGATCCTCCCCCAAGGACGTGTTTTTCACTGCTTTTTTTTTTTTTTTAAGATTTTATTTATTTATCTTTAGAGGGGGAAAGGGAAGGAGAGAGGGAGAGAAACATCAGTGTGTGGTTGCCTCTCATGAGTCCCCTGCTGGGAACTGGCCTGCAACCCAGGCATGTGCCCTGACTGGGAATCGAACCTCGATCCTCTGGTTCACAGGCCTGCGCTCAATCCACTGAGCTACACCAGCCAGGTAGCTTTTTTTTTCTTCCCTAAGATTTTTAAAATTTCATTTTTAGAGAGAGGAGAAGGGAAAGAGAAAGAGAGGGAGAGAGACATCAGTGCAAGGGAGAATCCTCAGTTGGCTGCCGGTAGCACGCACCCTGACTGGGGACCAAACCAGCAACTCAGGCATGTTCCCCAGCCGAGAATCAAACCTGCAACCCTTTGCCTTGTGGGATGACACCCAGCCAACTGAGCACACCAGTCGGGGCTTTTCTTTTTGTTTTTCTTTCCTTTTTTTTTTTTTTTTTTAAGAGCGAGAAAGGAAGGGAAACAGAGACAGAAACATTGGTTGGTTGCCCTCTCGTGGGCACGCCATCCAGGGCCTTAACCTGCAACCTGGGTACATGTCCTGACCGGGAATCGAATCTGTGACCTTTTGGTCTATGGGACGACGCTCCAGCCAACCGAGCCACGCGGTGCAGGATCTGGAGCCAACATTTTTAAGCAGTTAAGTTTGACAGACAACCTAGAACTCCGTGGTGGGTCATCAACACAGCCCACTGGCTTCCAGTGCCCAGCAGCCCGGTCGGGAAGCCAGCAGTGTTTGAAGATGAGGCCCGGCCGTGGGAGGCGAGAGGAGCGGGCGCGGCGATTGCCCACTCGCTTCAGCTCGCAGTGATATAGAGACACTGCGTCGTCCGTGGCAGCTCCCGCAGAAGCAGAAGTCTCACGCGCACCCATCAGTCCCCTGCCTTCTGCCTTTTCCCTTTTCCGACCGCCGTCCTGTGGGACTTTGCTTGCTGTCCCTTAAAGTGTCTTTGAGTTGTCTAGTGTTGGAAGCAGAGTTATAAGATACTCATTCTGTTTTCTTCATCTTTCCCTGACCAGAAATGTTTGCAGCACAAGGAGATTCCTGTCCCCAAGGGCTTTCTGACCGCCTCCTTCTGGCGCACCTGATGCCACTCCGTCACCCACTGTCACCGTTTTGTTGCAGAGGGGAAATAATAAAGCAACTGAACATATTTGTATTTGGGAGAGTCATGTCAGACTTGAAATTTGCCAATACGTGTTGTTACATATCCTTACCTTGTGTCTAGGAAAGAGATTGTCACAGCTCACAGAGTCAGGAAGGTCTGATGACCCCTTAAGGGACCCACAGGGCAGAGTACCTGGATTTGGCCTGTCTCACTTTTGTTTATTATTATTTTTTATTTTTTAAGATTTTATTATTTATTTATTTTTAGAGAGAGGAGAAGAAAGGGAGAGAAACATCAGCATGTGGTTGCCTCTCGTGTGCCCTTCATTGCGACCTGGCCTACAACCCAGGCATGTGCCCTGACTGGGAATCGAACTGGTGACCCTCTGGTTTGCAGGCCGGCACTCAATCCGTTGAGCCATACGAGCTGGGGCAAGGCCTCTCAGTTTGGCAAAAATTATGAGAAGAGGTGTTTAGCCTTTTATCCCATTTTTTATTTCCTTTGTCTCTACTATCTTTGAGAAATAAGGTAATACCTTAAGTATATCACTGTGAGCTGAAGCGAGCCCACCCCTTTAAAGGGCCACTAAGTAAGTGGTCACCTGAATCCTTACATGCAGGTCTGGGTTACGGTTGCTCTGCCTTCTCAGCTTGTGAAGTAACTAGAAGTTAGGAGCAAATGCCTGGTGTAGCCGTACACTTACCCCTAAATGGCCCCGGGGATGGCAGCTCAGTGTCCGGGGCTAGGACTTAGCACGCGTTACATCGAACCAAGAAGCACTGCATGCCCTCTTACCTGGAACTCAGTGCCCGATGACCAGGGACACATGGGCCAGGGCGGGTGCCCTTTTTGTTTGTTTTCCAGTTTGAATTAAGATGGGCAGAGATGGGGCCACAATACGTGTGAGCTGAGCATTCATGACAATGAGTTAGGGGTAGATAAAGGTGCTTGGGGGGGACTGATTTTATATATATATATGAAATATATGTATATATACATACACTATATGTATATAGGTTTTTTATGAGTTCTGACTAATGAATGATGACAGATTTGCCTGGCCAAACCACTGCAGAAACCCAAGGCTTGGCGCTTCAGCGGTCAGCGGAGCTGTGTCTGGGGAGAGTTGCTGACTGGACCGCGGACAGAGGCGGCAGCCCGGGGCTCTTCCTCCGGACCACGGAGTGTGGGGAGGTGGGTGTTCTGAGGCAGAGCGGGGATTCCCTGTTACTGTTGAAGTGACTTGTTCTATATTACTTAACTGTGGTGCCAAAAAAAATAAGTAATAAAGCTTGAATTTAAAACATCCATGTCCGGTGTGCAGTTGGCTCAGTGTGGTCAATGTCCTGTGTCTCGAGCTTTGTCGGTCGTTGAGGGGGACACGGTGGCGCCCAAGTCTGTCCGTTTTTTCCCTTTTTTGTCTTCCTGACCTTCACCTTAGGAAAGTTGCTCTTTTTGCCGTCGTTCCTTTTCGGAGTGACCTGTTTCATCTCGAAGAAGTGGGAAAGGATGGAAGTCCTGTGGCGTGGACACAGTGGAATGAACACTGGGAGCCGGGCCCGGTTCACTTGGAGGGTTTGCGGCTTGGGTAGGTCATCACCCACTCTGAACCTCAGGACTCCCACCTGCGGGACACAACAGTTGGACCAGTCAGAAGATCAGCAAGTGTCCAAGGTTCCAGACTGCTCTGCAGCGGGGTCTCAGCAGAGCTTCCCGGAGGCACAGTGCTCTCCCCAGCCCACCCGCAGGCCCCGGGGCCAGTTGCCATTCGCACTTTTTCTGCTCACCTGCGCTTTGCAAATGGCTCAGGTGAGTGTCAGGACTGAGCGGGTTGGGAAGTGCTGACGGGATGCATGGAGGGGCCTCCGCCCTGCAGTGCGTCATCTCGGAGGTTTCATGCCTGTCTCCATAGGCTCTCCTTTCTTCAGGAAACTTCTGCCATCTGCCGGGAAATTGTCCCACTCATAACCCGAGGTCTGGGGTACGGATACGAGAGGTGGACGGGGCCAGCTACGGTCCTGCTGCTCACACCTCTTGGTGAGGTCCTCTGTCGCGTTGCTGTGGCTTTCTGTGCCCCAGGTGCTGGGGTTCCGTGTAAGGTGAGACCCTGGACAAGGTGGTCTCCAAGGTCTCTGCTACTTTGAATTTGTCCCTCCTTAGATAACACTTCTCCCAGTGTCAGTGTTCTGTCTCCAGAGGTGTTTTAACCACAGCTGTGCGCATGTTGTTCAGTTCCCGGTATCCAAATGGGGTCGGCCACGAAGAGGGTGCTGGGGAGGCCGGGTTTTTGATTCTCATGATGTCACCTGCAGAAAGAGTGATTGCTAGCTGATAAGTGCAACTCCTGATGGGTAGTAGCATCAGATTCCTTCGGGCAGAGTGTGAAGGACTGCAGTCTGTTTTTAAATGCAAGTACTCACTTGCCTGCTGGCTTCCTTTCAGGCTTGACCTCATTTCTCAGGCAGAGTGCCCATAATTCTGTCATATCATTGTCCTACATCATTTTAAAGCAGATTTGATGACTTGAAAATTCCCGTAGCAAATAGGAGAGTAGAGTTCTGAATAGGAGAGTAGAGTTCTGGGCCTTTCCACCCAGGCACTGGCAGCCTCCCCTGCTTCTCCAGCTTTTCTATGATGCCAGCAGTGACATAATCAGGTTTGGGGGCCTGCTGTCTCAGTGCTGGGACGACAGAAAGGGCCCCAGCACTTTACACAGGTGCCTTATCAGGCCGGGAAATTCACTCCCTTTTGTCTGTTCCATCTAAAGGATTCCTGAAATCAATCTTCTGTGGACCTGCAGAAAGCAGATCAGAGCTGTGCTCTTCCCAGCTGTGTGATGACGAATTCACAAAAATGCCCGTTTTAAAGGGATTTGTCGTCTACAGCCAAGCTTTGTTGTCAAAAAAATGTTACTTTGTACAGATGACATATTCAAGAAACACTTTTCTTTTAGCGCCTTCATGTTGATTACATGAGGTGTTATGTGACCCTGGACCAGATAAGTATCTTTTTGTGTGTTTGTCTTACAAAGGACATTGAGACAGTGGCAAAACTTGAACACGGTCTGTATGTCCACATTAACTCCCTGACTTTGACTCCTGCACCATGCTTATAAAAATGGATCTTTCTGTTCTTCAGAAACACACATGTAGTATTCAGGGTGAGAGCATGATATCTGCAACGTACTCTCAGATGATTCAGTGGGGGTGGATACATGTTTACACATGTGTGTGTACATAAATAAGTGTATAATACATAGACTAGTAGACCAAATGTGGTCAAATGTTAGCAAATTGGGGAATCTGGGTGTAGGGTATATAGGATTTCATTCTATTATCCCTGTACTTTTTTGTAAACTGTTTCAAAATTAAAAGATAACCCTCGTCCCTCCACCAAAACAACAATAAAAAAACACCTTACAGTCAAATGAGGTGACTAAGTCAAGCTCTAGAACCTGCAGTGAAGGTTACATTGAAACTGTCGTCAGCCTGTGGCAGGAGTGGAGAGTTGACTCTAAACAGGTTTTACAAGATGCTTCCCACTTAAAATGAAACAGGTGCTTGGGGAGTGGAATCTCAGTTGGGTGGAGACAAGTGGCTCATGGACTTGGAGGGCTTGGTGGTTCGAGGTAAAAGATGGGAGCTCAGAAAACAGATCCATTTTGCGTAGGGCAGCTTTTCCCAGAGAGCTTTTCTGCAGGATTCTAAAAAAAGAGTTCAGAGGTCAAAGAAGTTTGGGAAGTGTGTACTGAGTTCAAGGTCAAAGAAGTGAAGTAATAGATGAAACGAGAATGGCAGTGCTGGTGATCGTTGATGGTGGTGATGAGCAGATGCAGGTTCATTGTAATATTCTGCTTACTAGGCTTATCTTTGAAATCTTCTTTAATAAAGAGTTTCAATTCTAAATCAAAGGAAAAAGGGACTTTTTCTTGCAGGACTTTTTGGTGCCTTAACTTCGTTGCTTTGAATTGTCAGCCTCCAAACTGACATGAAACTCCCTGTTTCCAGAGCTTCTCTTGGGCCTGGTATTTCTGGGAATACACTTTTTGGAATGCTTTATTTGGAGGTTAGGCTGGTCACCAAAGTATTTTGGAGAGAGTATGTGATCCAGGTACTTAAAAATAGTCCAAAAATTTAAAAGACAGCAAAGAAGTCCCCAACTCCTTCCATTCTCGGTACCCACTTGAGCATCTCTGTGCATAGGGAACAGAGAGAGGAATTCAGTTCTTAGGCAGACGCAGTTCCCGTGCTGTCTTGCCACCTGCTGTCATTCGGGAGAATCTCAGATTCTTTTTCAAGTCCATCAGTATGCACGCCGTCACCAGTATTGTCTTGGACTTAGGAATCCTGCATAACGTACCATTTTTCAGTTGGTGACTAGTTGCTTCTAATTTTTTACAATTATTCACATTCATATATATATCTTGTCCCACCTTTTTAGGGTAAGTTCCTGGCTGGAATGTTTTGTCAAGCAGCATGTGAGTTTTATATTCTGATCCATGCTGCCAAATTGCTCTTCCAGAAAGTTTCTACTCAACATGGGTCAGATCTATCTGGTGGAAATGAGGGGTGGGCTCAGGAGAGAAGGACATTCTAATTGGAGGCAAAAGCATGAAAAATGGAAAAATAAAAAACCCGTTTGGGAGAAGAAAATGAAAAAATTTAAAAAGCATGAAAAATAAAAAATAAAATAAAAGCATAAAAGATAAAAGCACGATGTCCTGGCTGATGTGGCTCAGTGGATTGAGCACCAGCATGCGAACCAGTCACTGGTTTGATTCCCAGTTGGCACAAACCTGGGTTTTGGGCCAAGTTCCCAGCAGGGGGCATGTGAGAGGCGACCACACATTGATGTTTTTCTCCCTGCCTTTCTTCCTCCCACCCCCTTTCTAAAGATAAATAAATAATTTTTAAGCATGAAAAATGGAAAATAAATAACCTGTTTAAGAAGTGACTAAGCTCACCTCTGGAGAAAAGTATTAGAAAATGGCTGTAGAAAGAAGTGGAATGAGTTTGTGGGTCCTCCAGAATCTCTAATTAGTCTGGGCAACTCTAAGCAATGACAAGCTACTAAAGCTTTTTTCCAAGGCCCTGGCTGGGTAACTCTGTTGGTTAGAGCATCGTCCCAATATGCCAGGGTCGTGGATTCAGTTCAGTTCCGGTCAGGGCATGTACAAGAATCAACCAATGAATGAGTAAGTAAATGGAACGACAGATCAATGTTTCCCTGTCTCTTTCTCCCTTCCTCTTCCTAAAAGTCCATAAAGAATTTTTAAAGAAGTTTATTTCAAGAAGGCCTGACATTATTTTAACTGATTTTAGAAATAGAGGAAAGGAGAGAGACAGAGAAACATGGATTTGTTTCATTTATTGATGCATTGATTAGTCGATTCTTTTTTTTAAGATTTTATTTATATATTTTTAGAGAGAGGAGAAGGGAAGAAGAGAGGGAGAGAAACATCAATGTGTGGTTGCCTCTCACCAGGCTCCCACTGGGGACCTGGCCCGAAACCCGAAACCAGGCATGTGCTGACTGGGAATTGAACCAGTGACCCTTTGGTTCGCAGCCCACGCCTGATCCACTGAGCTACACCAGCCAGGACTAATTTTTTTAAAAAAATTTATTTATTTTAAAATTTATTTAATTATTGTTCAAGTACAGTTTTGTTTTTTACTCCCATCTCAGCCCCCCGCCCAGTATTTATTTTTATTTTACTCTTTTTTTTAGAGAAGGGGAAGGGAAGGAGAAAGAGAGGGAGAGAAACATCAATGTGTGAGAGATACTTTGATCTGTTGCCTGTCACTCGCCCCCAACTGGGGATCTGGCCAGCAACCCAGGCATGTGCTCTGCCTGGGAATTGAACTGGCAACCTTTCATTTTGCAGGCCAGTGCTCAATCTACTGAGCTACACCAACCAGGACTAGTTGAATCTTGTATGTGCCCTGAACAGGGATTGAACCCACAACCTTGGCCTATGGGGCGACACTCAAACGAACTTAGCTACTCAGCCAGGAGGGCGTCACACTCACTGTGGTGGAACCCTCCCCACCATCCACTCCAGAACTTTCTCATCTGCCCAGACCAGACTGAAACTCCGTCCCCATTAAACACGAACTCCCCACTGCCCCTCTCATAGCCTCCAGCCAGAAAGTAGAGCTTCCTGCTCTACTTTCTGTCTCTGTAGATTTGACTATTCCAGGGACCTCACGTAAGTGGAACCCACAATAATTGCCTGTTTGCGTCTGGCTTATTTCATGTAGCGCGCCTTCGAGGTTTTTCCAGTCACTGTTTGGAAGCTCTGTCCTGTT